CCCGCCCGAGCCCGGCGCTGCCCACCTGAGGCGGAAGCGCTCCCGCCACACCTTGCCGCGGGGCTGGCACGCCTCACGCAGCCGGCGGCAGGTGCAGGACACGCGGCCGATGTCGGCGGCGCCCAGCACGTCGCAGCAGAGGATGAGCTCCAGCAGCTCGCCCGGCAGGTCCGTCAGGCCCGTCCCGCCGCTGCCGCCGCCGCTGCCGGGCCCCGGCGGGCCCGCGGCCTCCGCCGCCATCTTGGCTGTTTACCTGCGCTGAGGGGCCGACGGCGCTTCCGGGGAGGGGCGGCCCGGGCAGCGCCCGCTGAGGGCGGCGGGAGCGGGAGAGGGACAGGGACAGGGAAAAGGGACAGGGACAGGGACAGGGACAGGGAAAGGGAGAGGGAAAGGGAAAGGGAAAGGGAAAGGGAGCGGAACCGAAAGGGCGCGGGGGCTGCCGGTACCGGGAACGGCGGCCTGAGACACCGCACCGGGGCCATCGGTACCGGGAACGGCGGCCTGAGAGGGAGCAACGTGATCAGTATTGGAAATGGGGGCTAAAAAGGGATCAGTGTGATCAATACTGAAAACGGAGTGTCAAAAAGAGATCAGTGTGATCAGTATTGGAAATGGAGTGTCAAAAAGGGATCAATGTGATCAGTATTGGAAATGGAGTGTCAAAAAGGGATCAATGTGATCAATACTGGAATGGGAGTGTCAAAAAGGGATCAATGTGATCAGTATTGGAGATGGGGGCCAAAAAGGGATCAGTGTGATCAATCTTGGAAACGGAATGTCAAAAAGGGATCAATGTGATCAGTATTGGAAGTGGAGTGTCAAAAAGGGATCAATGTGATCAGTATTGGAAACGGAGTGTCAAAAAGGGATCAGTGTGATCAGTATTGGAAACGGAGTGTCAAAAAGGGATCAGTGTGATCAGTATTGGAAATGGGGGCCAAAAAGGGATCAATGTGATCAATCTTAGAAACGGAGTGTCAAAAAGGGATCAATGTGTTCAGTATTGGAAACGGAGTGTCAAAAAGGGATCAATGTGATCAGTATTGGAAACGGAGTGTCAAAAAGGGATCAATGTGATCAGTATTGGAAGTGGAGTGTCAAAAAAGGATCAATGTGATCAGTATTGGAAGTGGAGTGCCAGAAAGGGATCAATGTGATCAGTATTGGAAGTAGAGTGTCAAAAAGGGATCAGTGTGATCAATCTTGGAAACGGAGTGTCAGAAAGGGATCAATGTGATCAATATTGGAAGAGGAATGTCAAAAAGGGATCAATGTGATCAGTATTGGAAACGGAGTGTCAAAAAGGGATCAATGTGATCAGTATTGGAAACGGAGTGCCAGAAAGGGATCAATGTGATCAATATTGGAAACGGAGTGTCAAAAAGGGACCAATGTGATCAGTATTGGAAACAGAGTGCCAGAAAGGGATCAATGTGATCAGTATTGGAAGTAGAGTGTCAAAAAGGGATCAATGTGATCAATCTTGGAAACGGAGTGTCAGAAAGGGATCAATGTGATCAATATTGGAAGAGGAATGTCAAAAAGGGATCAATGTGATCAGTATTGAAAGGGGAGTGTCAAAAAGGGATCAATGTGATCAGTATTGGAAGTGGAGTGTCAAAAAGGGATCAATGTGATCAGTATTGGAAATGGGGGCCAAAAAGGGATCAATGTGACCAATACTAAAAACGGAGTGTCAAAAAAGGCCCACATTGGTGTGATCAGTATTGGAACTGGGGGCCAAAAGGGATCAGTGTGATCAATATTGGAAGTGGAGTGTCAAAAAGGGATCAGTGTGATCAGTATTGGAAACGGAGTGTCAAAAAAGGACCACATTGGTGTGTGTGATCACTATTAGAAATGGGGGCCAAAAAGGGATCAATGTGATCAGTATTGGAAGCGGAGTGCCAAAAAGGGATCAATGTGATCAGTATTGGAAATGGGGGCCAAAAAGTGATCAATAGTGGAAAGTGGGTACCAAAAAGTGACTACATCAGTGTGATCAGTATTGGAAATGGGTGCCAAAAAGGGATCAATGTAATCAGTATTGGAAATGGTGGCCAAAAAGGGATCAGTGTGATCAGTATTGGAAATGGAGTGTCAAAAAGGGATCAATGTGATCAGTATTAGAAACAGAGTGTCAAAAAGGGATCAATGTGATCAATATTGGAAACGGAGTGTCAAAAAGGGACCAATGTGATCAGTATTGGAAACGGAGTGTCAAAAAGGGATCAATGTGATCAATATTGGAAACGGAGTGTCAAAAAGGGATCAATGTGATCAGTATTGGAAACGGAGTGTCAAAAAGGGATCAATGTGATCAATATTGGAAACGGAGTGTCAAAAAGGGATCAATGTGATCAGTATTGGAAACGGAGTGTCAAAAAGGGATCAATGTGATCAGTATTGGAAACAGAGTGTCAAAAAGGGATCAATGGGATCAATATTGGAAATGGAGTGTCAAAAAATGACCACATTGGTGTGTGTGATCACTATTAGAAATGGGGGCTAAAAGGGATCAGTGTGATCAATCTTGGAAACAGAGTGTCAAGAAGGGATCAATGTGATCAATATTGGAAGGGGGGTGTCAAAAAGGGATCAATGTGATCAGTATTGGAGATGGGGGCCAAAAAGGGATCAGTGTGATCAATCTTGGAAACGGAGTGTCAAAAAGGGATCAATGTGATCAATACTGAAAATGGAGTGTCAAAAAAGGACCACATTGGTGTGATCAGTATTGGAAATGGGGGCCAAAAAGGGATCAATGTGATCAATATTGGAAGTGGAGTGTCAAAAAGGGATCACTGTGATCAATATTGGAAGCGGGGGCCAAAAAAGGATCACATCGGTGTGATTGGTATTGGAAATGGGGGCCAAAAAGGGATCAATGTGATCAATACTGGAAACAGAGTGCCAAAAAGGGACCTCATCAATGTGTATCAATATTGGAAACAGCAGCCAAAGAGGGACTGCATCAGTGTGATCAATATTGTAAAGGGGGTGCCAAAAAGAGACTGGATCAATGTGATCAATATTGGAAAGGGGGTGTCCAAAGGGGACATGTCAGTGTGTAAAAATATCTCAAAGGAGGTACCTGAAGGACACTTATCAATGTGTGAAAGGTCTTTTAAGGGTAAACTGTCAAGAAACGACACTTAAATTATTTTTATTTTTAACTGAAGAACTAATTACCTGTGTTCTGTAATGTGGACTTTTTTGTCTAATTACACAATACTACTGAGATTTGTGAAGAAGAAAGTAAAGAAGGACTAGCTTCCACCTTAAAACCTCTATCTTGTTTTATATATATATATTTATATAATGTATATATCTTACTATATTCTAAAACCCCAAACTAAGTTTTCTACTATGTGGTATTAACACTTCTAGCCAGACTACACACCCATCATCTTAGTTTTATCATTCAATTTTGGAAGCCTTCTCCACGGCCTCAGGTCAGGTATGGTTTTCTCTTTAGGGCCAGAGCCTGTCAGCACAGAAAGTCCAAAATTCTCCAAAATGAGGTTCTAACGGGGTGCACAGGGGGGACCTCATCAATAGGCAGAAATAGCTAAAGTGGATCAATGTGTATCAATATCCTGTGCCAGGGCCTGCCCACCCTCCCAGGGAACAATTCCTTCCCCTGTCCCACCTAATCCTGCTCTCAGGCATTTGGAAGCCACTCCTTGCCCATGTAAAAAATCCCTTTTTTAATGAGCCCCCTTTTCCCTTCCATGGGAAAATCATTTTTCCATGGGAAAAGCCATGTCCGTATTTCTGCCTCATTGCCCTGGCTGCTTCCTTGTTTCTTTCTTTCTCATTTCTCATTTCTTTCTCATTTCTTTCTCATTTCTCTCTCATTTCCAGGCCTCTCAGCTGCTGCCTGCATTGCTTTTGCCGTGTTCCCAAGGCTCCAAATCTCCCCCTGGTTTGCACACAGCCAGCCCTGTGACATTTCCCCTGAGGACACGGGATAAATGATGGGATCCATGGGTTATAGATATATTACAGTATTGGCTTTTTGCAAATATTTAAATGGATTTTATATGTGTTGTGTTAAAGTAACTTGGTTATAAAGATAGAGTTTTGATTTCTGTTGTTAATTAAGCTTAGTGAAATATCTGATATCAGTATGTTTGTGTTAAATTGCTGCTGGGATGGGATAAAAAGGACTGAACACAGGATGAGGATGCTGCTATTGATATTCCAATTATCAGCACTCGCTGACTGAAGGCAGTGTGCACCAAGGCCCAAAAATTGGAGGGGAACAAAAGGACCAAAACCACAACCAAGGAATCTGCATGCTCTAAAAAGGCAGAACCGAGGAGGAGCCAGGCTAAACAGTTCTTGGAACATGTAAAGCAGTTTGGGGAAAAGTTTAGTGTGCATAAGGGTCTGTGAATATGCAACAGGCATTGATGCACTAGAAATGGTAAATAAAGGGTGTTTCCAAACTAGCAGGGGTGCCAGGATGCACCCAGTCCTAAAAAAGGTCTTTGCTCTATGGTCCTTGTCTCCTATTGTCCTGCATTAAACTTTTTAAATGTTCATGGTCCTTGTCTCCTATTGTCCTGCATGAAACTTTTTAAGTGTTTATGGTCCTTGTCTCCTATTGTCCTGCATTAAACTTTTTAAGTGTTTATGGTCCTTGTCTCCTATTGTCCTGCATTAAACTTTTTCAATGTTTATGGTCCTTGTCTCCTATTGTCCTGCATTAAACTTTTTCAATGTTTATGGTCCTTGTCTCCTATTGTCCTGCATTAAACTTTCCAGTGTTGACAGGAGAGGGAAGGTGTTTCTCACGTAGGGAGTGCTGTGACTCAGGCACCTGGCGAGGCCGTGTCTGTGTCTGGCAGGTGAGCGGGTGCTGCTGATTGTCACTGCTATTTCTGGCACCCTGGCATTACAGGTGGCAGAGCAGAGCGAGGCCAAGGCACCAGCAGAGACCTCGAGCAGCCTCCCGGTGTTAAAAACCCAGAGAGGAGAGAAGAGCTGCCAGCTTTTAGTTCGCTTTTTTATTTTGACCGTAATGCAAACAGGCATAAGTATTCCATAAAATCAGAAGTTTGGGACTATACAGAGAGAGGTGCATGCTTCAGAACAACGTGGATATCTTGCAAACAGAGCCAGAGCCAGTCTGAGAGAGGGGCTGGAGCACGGGGGACGAATGGCAGAGATTTTTAGCAGCATTGAGAGCTCGGAGGTAGGGGAAGAACCACGTTTCTGGCTGCTTAAAGCACTGGTAGGATCACACACAGCTCGGGCTCACCCCACCCCTGCGGCCTCAGCACAAACCTGCCCTGGGATCACACAGAAAACAGCTACAAAAGGAGCTCCCCCTGCTCCACACACACCTGGGGGATGGCATGGGATGCAAAGTGGGAGTGCCAGGCTCCAATCTTGGCATCGTTTCCTCGAGCGAATGAAGGCACAGTGATGTGAGGGTGTGAGGGGAGCAGGGAGCAGCCAGGGCATGGAGCCCCACCCAGCCCAGCAGGATTTACCCACATCTGAAAGGTTTACAATGGAAAATTTGGGATTTCCCTGCCCCAAAGCTGCCACCTTCCCCAGCCCAGTCCCCGTCCTCATCATGGCACTGCTGCTCTTCAGGAAAAGGCCACTGGAAAATGAAAAACTCCAACCCAACCTCTGAGTCTAAGACTAAAGGTGCCTGGGGGAGCCGAGGGGATAAATCCCTGCTCCTATTACAAAAATTAATTGGCACTGAATATCAAATTCCCCGGGCAGCTGGCAGAAGTGGTGCTTTTAACTCTGTGCAATCTCCAAAGCGATGAGTCCCAGCTGAAAGTCATCCTGCTCTGCTCATCCCCTGCCTGGGGAACTGTGTGTGCACTCTGGAAAAGCTGCAGAGTGCTCACAAAGCACACACAGCCTGGGGTTTTTAAAGGCATTTCGAGGCAGCAGAGCACGGGAATTCAACCTTGGGAACTGTGGGGATTTGCCTGTGTTGCAGGGTTTTAGCAAAGCAGGGATTTTACACTGAATCTCACTCCTAGGGAGATTCTCCAACCCCATCTCCTATTCCTGAACATGCTCTAGGCTATTGGGAAGTGGCTTTTCTTAAGATAGGATTCCATGCCACGATCACAAGGAGAGGAGAACAAAAAAGCAGACTCAGAAGCAAGGAGCATTAGTGTCTCAGTGAATTAAGGCTGTTTTGTTGCCCTTGATAAATTTAAAAAATCTCCGCCAGCAGTTATTGTAGGAACAAAAAGTTTGATTTAATCCAAATTTGATACACTGGCTGTTTGCTCTCTGTTTGCTTTCCCCACCCCAAAACCAACACATGAAAACAAAGCAGCAAAAAGAAGCCTTGAATTAGTTCCTCTCTTAAACCAACTTTTCCAGTATTTAGCCTTTCAATTTTCCAGGTATTAAGGATGCCCCTGGAAGGAAAATACTTTGCCTGGTGTTTTTCCCTCCCAGATTTCTGCACCAGCCCTGCAGAGAGCTGTCCTGCATCCCAGTTCCTGCTTTTCCACAGCTCCAGAACAACTCTGAAAGCTTTGGGTACAGGAGTCTTGCCCAACTGCTCTCCGCAGGAATGAGGAATAGCTGCAAAACTTCAGCCTACAGGCTCCTGGTAAACCAGGAATTCTCAGGGCCAGCCTCACAGGTTTGCTTTGCACACTTTGAGGCTCTTCCTCCCTCCTCCTTCCCCAAAATCTGGCCAGGCAGGACGTGGATGAGTGAGGCAGGAGAGCACCAGCCCCGGCAGTGAGGTGCTGCCACTGCTCAGCTCTGAGCTCACAACCTCTTGGGGTTTTATTCCTGTGATTCCAGGGCTCAAATTTCCATCAAAGCCCAACATCTGTAGGGGTGGAGGCCAGGAATTGCCAGTCTGCTGCATTTTCCTAGCAGGAAAAAAAAGGTGGATCTGCATGGCAATGCTTGGATATGCCACAAGTTTTCCCTGGGCTACACCAAGCTGATTTTGACCTTTCCTAAATTCTGTTTCACTTCTGGAACCAAGTGCTTTAAAGCAGCAGCTTTCTCCCTCTCCCCTGACTCCCTGCTGAGCACACATGGCCACATGGAAGAAGCTGGAGCTGGGATTTTCCTGGGAAAGGGGAGATTTCCCAGGGATTGCTGGAGCCATGCATTGCAGGCACGTGCAAGCGCAGATTGACACACGCAAAAATACTCTGAAACTGCTGCTGCTGCTGTGCAAGCTGCCAAAATCCCCAGTGCCACTGAAGCCAGCAGGTGTGGAAGGCATTTTGGATCTGGGAGGACTTGGATTCCAGGCTAATTGTATCCAACTTCAGGATTACAGGTTTTTCAAGAGCACTGGCCAAATTTTGCTCTCCCTGTTACAGCAGAAGGAATTGTTATAAAAAACAGGGAGTTACAGCAAAGTCGAATGGTCCTGAAAATGTGTCTCCATCTGTTCTGCGAAGGGACTCTCAATGCAATTGCAGAGTTATCAGAGCAGTTCTGCAGCTGAGAACGAGTCCCTGGTGGAAGCAGGAACAGAATCGAGTTTTGAGCATAAAATCATCCTCCCAAAAATGGTGGGAAACCCTCAGGGGGCAATGGAATGGCTTCAGTGGTCAGAAGTCAGGAGGCAGCAGCTTTGGCTTGGGCTTGGTGCAAATCCATGAGGCTTTGAGCACAAACACGACCTCTCCCCCCAAGTTTGAGCAGAACGGGGTCTGCAGCACGTGGGAGAGTTCACAGCCCCAGTCTGCACCCACGCTGTGACCCCTCCCCACCTCCATCCCCCTGTGGAACCCAGCTGGGGGAGATGGGGCTGGGTTTGCTCCCAGTTATCCCAGCACAAGGCACTGAGCCGTGCCCAGCCTGCCCCTGCACGTCCAGCTGGGCAGGAGGGGCTGCCAAGGGGACAGCCAGCCTGGGGGGACAGGAACCACACTGACAGGGATGGAGCAGCCACAGGGACATTGTCCCCATGCCATGTCCCCCCTGCAGGGTGAGGCTCCTGGCCCAGCTGCAGGACACCTCAGGGCCCGCGGTCCCCGTGCTCAGGGGGTGGACACTGTCCCTGCTCCCCCTGGGGACACGCAGGCACAGGGGGGACAGGGAGCGTGCACAGCCCAGAGCCAGATCCCATTCTCTGGCCAGTTTGGCTCAGCTCCTCTCGAGCGATGTGGAGGTGACAGCTCTGTGAGGCCACTCCTGGTGGCAGATGTCTCATTGTTTTGCTGTTGTCTCATTGTTTTGCCATTGTCTCATTTTTTTGCAGTTGTCTCTCACAAACAGAAGAACAACAAACTCCCAGGCAGCCCTTCCCAGGAGATGAAGCCTCAGAAATCACCAAGCACAGCCCTGGATACCCGTGCACTGAATGGTTTTTCCCTGCTGGCGGACACAGCAGGGTGGGAAAACACAGAACCTTTTCCCTGGGTTTTCAAATCCATATAATTACTCTCTGCAGACACTTGAAAGACCTGGGAAGTGAAATCTTTGTAAAAAGCCCCACTTTGTAGTGTCTTGAAAATCAAACCTGTGCAGAGAAGGGTCTCTAACACCTGGAGAGTGAAAAGGAGAAGAGCTGCTCCAAACTGGGGTGGTGGTGGAGATCCTCGGGAGAGCGGCTGGGACGCTGGGCAGGCTGGGTCCATCAGGTCCAGCACAGGAGTGGGGGGCAGCAGGCACCCAGAGGGGACAGATTTGTCACCCGAGTGCCCCAGAGGCACAACCCCTGTGTCTGACCCCTGGAGCAGCTCAGGGCACCGGGCTGGGGCAGAGCCACCTCCCTCTGTGTTCAGCAGAGATTTTGTGGCTACACCTGCAGGTCAGAAAGGCCACGGCGAGACGAGCAGAGGCCAGCCTGGAAGTGCCACTTCAGGAATAATAAAGCACATCCACAAGTTTCTTTCCCCTGTTGCTATGGGAGAAAATGGAGCTCGAGGGGAGTGCGAAGCCCCTGCAGGTGGAGGGGATGAAGGGGAGCACTTCAGACGTCTGAGACTGACTCAACAGCAAACAGTGAATCAAAATTCCCAGTGGTGCAGCTTGTGAGCAGAGCGGGAGCAGAGGCAGCTCGGAGCCCTGGGGGTCTTTAACCTCATGGAGCTTCATGGCAGGGAGGGGATTTCTGCTCCAGGTCCAGGCAAGGAGCTTTAAACCAGCATTTCCCCTCCAGGGGCTCGGCAGGGCTCAGCCAGGCGGTGTTTGGTGAGCCCTGCCTGCCCGGCCCAGACCCTCTGCACACCCAGGGGAGGAGGGCTGTGCTGCCCTGCTGCCTCCCCTGGGAGGGGATGCGGAGGTGATGAGCTTTGGGGTGCAGGGAAAGCAAGATAATCCAGCTCAGGCACGGGCTGCAGGTGGGAGATGGTACAGCAGGGCAGGCAGGAGGCAGACAGGAGGGAAACCTTGCCAGCACCAGGGTGGGAGCTGGGAAGAGGACAAAGAGATGGTTTTTGGGCATTACCTCCTCCTTCTCCCCATCAGGTTGCATCTTCCCTTCTTCTAAAGGAGGACCAGAGCACAAAGCCAGAGCTAGAATTTCTCAAAAGAAGAGGATGAGTTTGATTTTCTTTCTGAGTTTCTTCCTGATTTTCATTTAGTTTCTGCAGCCCCAGGATGGGGGTCAAGGCCAAGCTTGCTGCGTGTTCCCAGCTCTGGAGCCAGGGAGTTTTCTCCCAGCCAGGACCTCTCCCAAACTCACACATCCCAAGCCCTGGCACTGGGGTGGGCTGTCCTTTCCCCGGTGCTCTCCAGCTTTTCCCTGCATGTCCCCAGGTGCCGAGGCAGTGCCCCACCGCTGGCCGCGTGTCCCGGCCCTGCCGGCTCAGCTCCGGCCACACCGTGGCAGCATTTATTCGCTTTATCCCATATTGGATGCTCAGCCGGCACCTGCAGACCTGGATCTCAAATTCTCCCGGTGCTTGGAGCCCTTTTGCTCCTGGATTTTGGGCTGGAGATGCTTCAGGCATTCAGGGAGTCGAAGCTGCAGAAGGTGTCACAGCCCAGGAGATCCTGGCCGAGGGTGGGAATAACAGCACAGCCTGAGACAGTGGGGCTTGTTCCACGGGCTGGGAGAGCAGCAGAGCTCCTGCAGCTTTTCTGTGCTGCCTTTAGCTCGGGGCAGGTGATGTCAGCCCTGTGAAAGCTCCTGGGCAATCCCTGTGCCATCAGCAGCTCTGCTGCTCGGCTCCATCCAGGATATCCGTGCACAGCTGGGCACAGCTGGGCACAGCTGGGCACAGCGGGGCAGGAGGGGAGGAGCAGCAGCTGCCACCTCAAGATGCCAACCCTGCATCCCTGCCTCCAGCAGGAGCTGCAGCCGTGTCCTGCTGTCCTTGTGGTGGCAGTGAGGGAGGAGAAGCCTGGGATGGGCTCAGCTGGGCAGAGCCTGCTGCTAAAAACCCCGAGGTTCAATCCCTGGATGGGCCATCCACTCAGGAGCTGGGCTCGATCCTTGTGGGTCCCTTCCAGTTCAGAATGTTCTGTGACTCTTCAGGGTGCAGCAGGAGGAAGGACACACAAGGTCAGCTTTGCTTTCCCTTGCAGACAGCTTTTCTCTGTTAAAACTTTCTGTTTCCTCCAACCTTTCTGTGGCTGTGTTAACAAATTGCTTTTGGGGCCAGGCTCTTGCAGCAGGGCTGAGGTGTGAGCGTGTCAGACCCAGCACCTTTGCAGCTGATCTCACCTCCCTTCTCACAGGAGGTGTCCTGGCTGAGACAGCTCATGCCACTGGCAGGTGGCACCGAGGGACCTGGCTCACCCCCAAAATGCCACACACGTGTCTCTTGGCAGCAGATGGCCCCATGGTGGCACTTTCTGCTCTCTCAGATGTGGAAAGGGCTGGGGTCTGCTGTCCCAGAAGTGCTCACGAGATGTGCTGAGGGCTGCTGGCTCTGGGATTTCATGATTCCTCTGTTGGCACATCCTTGCCAAAAACCTGAAGCCCCCATCCCCCTCCAAGTGCTGCCTTTGTTCCCTCTGGCAGCTGCTTCTGTCCCATCCTCGTGGCTTTCCAGGCTCACCTGGGAGAGGGATCAGGGTGTGCAAAGCTCTGGGTGCAGCCAGGCCCTCAGCATAGCTGCAAATCAAATCTTCCCAGGAAAATCCCCTGGAGAAGTCACTGCCAGGAGCTTTTCCTTGGCCTGCACATCAGCCTGTGAGTTCAGAGCTTGTGGGAGAACTTCCATGCCAGCAAAAGTTGGGACTGAGCGAAAGGAGAGGCTCACAGGGAGCAGGAAAAGAGAGCAGGAGAAGAGAGACAAAGCAGGGCCCGCTTAGGAGGAATCGTGACACATAAATCAGATCAAAAACCACACAGCTGTACCCAGGCTGCTTGGAGATGAATAAAATTCAAGGGAATTGCACATCATCTGCCCCCAGCCTCGGGCATTTGCCCAGGTTTGTCCAAATCCAGAGAGAAGCCATGAAAACACAAGGATTCAGCTGGGGAAAGAGGGAGCCTGGCAGGAACAGCCCCCAGCTCTGGACAAGCAACAAGACCTCGCCATCACCCAGCCCCTGCCACCTCTGCTCATCCCAGAAACTCCCAAAAATGATCACAAAGGTGGTGATTTCATGCAGCTGCAAAATGCCCTCATGGGAAGGAAGGGAAGTGTGGAATTCTGAAAAGAGCCACTGCAGGTTATAAAGCCATCGAACTCCAGTGGGGAAATCCAGGGAAGGGGAAGGAGGTGAAAAGAAATGGCCACAGGACAAGAGCAAGAGAAGGAGGAAGGAAAGGAAATAAAAGTCATCATCATCATCATCATCATCATCATCATCATCATCAGGACACAACAACAGGAGAGACAGAGCGCTTTCCAGGGGCAGTTCCCCTGGGAAAGGAGCCACCGTGTCCGTGAAATACAAAACCCAGTGCCCTCCAGCTGGAGGGGGCAGCAGGTGCTGGGACTGGTTTGGCATCCCCTGGGGGCGAAGGGTCCAGTTAGGAGCAGAAAACCCTGCAAGGGAAAGGGGAGAAAGGCTGGCCTTAGAGGGAGCAGCGAGGAGCACTGGGAGCATCCCGACCTGCGCCTTCCGTGCTGTGTGGGCAGGAGTTTACAGAGCTGGGTGGGGTGGGCACGGAGGTCACCTTTATCCACAGGTGGGAAATTGAGGCACTCTGGTAGAGTGCAGACACCAGAGCATGCGATTCCTTGGAGAACAATTCCTGCCAAACCTCAGGGATGTGGGGAAACCCACTGCAGGCACCACACAGGGGAAGGGGTTTCACCCCAATCTACCCAGGGCCAGCACAAGGAGCATGATCCATGCAGCTGCCCAGCCTTTATCCTAAATAATCCTTCTGCTCAGCCAGGGAAAATCCCACCATGACCAAGATGAGCAAATGGCAGGACTTGGTAGAGCAGAAACAAACACGGCAAATGTCAAGACTTTTTTTTTTTTTTTTTTAACTTCTGGTTGTTTTTGCAACAGCAGGGAGAAAAATCTCTGGATCTTTCCTGAAGGGGCATGGAGAGCTGAAAACCTGGAGCCAGCCAGGCTCCCCTGCAGCTGGGGAGAGTCCCCCCTGCCTGTGGGTTTTGCCAGCCTGGAAGCAGGCAGCAGGCAGGACCATTTTCCTTTGGATGGGGTTGTCAGGTCTGACAATTGCACATCAATGCAATAAATTGGGAAGCTGGGGGGATTTATCCTAGAGAGGTGACAGCTATTCCAGAGGCACTGCCAGGCTTCCAGAGCAAAAATCAGCGCCTTCCTCAGCCTCTGCTCTAAGGTGTGCACAAAAGCCAAAGCCTCCTTTCCCATCCTTTCCCACTCTTCCCCATCCCCCAGCCCACGAGGGGACTGCAGGGGTTAAAACAAACGTGTCAACTCACTCATCCGTGTCTTTTTTGCTCTCCTCGATGAATGCGATGGACTCGGATCTAAGGCGGTTTGTCACCTCGTACGTGCGCAGGGTGACTCCAAAAATATCCTCGTGGTACCGGCTGTCATCCTGGGAGGGAGGGTGGCAGAGGGAAAAATGGGATTTGTGAATGCTCAGGGCCGGCCCCAGCGAAATCCTGCGTGGTGGGGAGGCAGCAAATGGGCAGGAGAGGGTTTGGGGATGGTCAGGAGGGGACAGAGGGGGGGAGTGACCTTCCCAAGGTCACACCCTGGGCACAACAGGGCTGTTCTGGGCATTAGACCCCCGCAGCTGCTGGAAATTCCTGTCTGGCAGGGGCACAGCAGCCCAAGGGCACTCTGTGAACAGCCAGGGGCTCTGGGCTCCCTTGGGTGGGGCTGGATGGAGGTGGGGACATGGTTCAGAAGGGGAAATCCCATGGGAATCAGGCTGAGTTATCCCCCTGGGGAGAAGCAGAGCTGTTCCATCATCCACCCGTGGATCTGTGTCCCAAATTGAGCTCATGATGAGCTCAGCTGCATCATCTGTGTCTGGCACGGGGTGCACAGACAGGGAGATTTGCAGCAGGGACCCACAAAATGCCCTGATAAATCTATTTTTTGATGGATGGCGAACAAGCCCTGCCAGGGCTGCCCAAAAGCGCTGGGACCGGTGCTCCCCAGAGGAGCCAGGTGACCTCCCTGCACACAGAAACCTCTGGAATGTCCCCTCCCGACCCTCCCTGGGCGGGCAGGGGCAGGCAGCAGGTGCAGTGCCCGTGGCAGGGGTGGCCGTGGTGGCACGCACCGGTGGCAGTGTCACGCTGCAGACACCACTCACCCGCAGCTTGCTGAGGAAGGCTCCTGCCTCCTCGGCCGACAGCTGGCCCTGCTGCCTCACGATGAGCTGCACGGCCTTGAGGACGTCCCCGGCCATGGTGACATCCCCGCAGACGTAGATGTGGCCTCCCTGCTCCTTCAGTGCTCTGAACACGGTCTGGGCCAGCTGCTCCTGCAACACGTCCTGCACGTATTTCTGAGGGACGAGGAGGGAGCTGGGATTAGCTTGGGTTTGTCCTGCCCTGGGGGCAGCACTGAGGGGTGACCCCTCTTTGGGGGGCACAGCTGTGCCTTGCAGCACCCACAGTGACAAAGAAGAGATGGGGACAGCAGCAAAGCTTCCTGCTGCTCTTGCATGGGCACACCTGCACCACCTCTTCCATTGCCAGTGGGAATTTGGAGCAGGTATTTGCACTGGCTCTGGGATACCCCACTGGGTGACTCCTTTCCTTTTTTCCTTTCCCTTTCTCCTTTCCCTTTCTTCCTTTCCCTTTCTCCTTTCCCTTTCTCCTTTCCTTTCCTTTCCTTTCCTTCCTTTCCTTTCCTTTCCTTCCTTTCCTTTCCTTTCCTTTCCTTTCCTTTCCTTTCCTTTCCTTTCCTTTCCTTTCCTTTCCTTTCCTTTCCTTTCCTTTCCTTTCCTTCCTTTCCTTTCCTTTCCTTTCCTTTCCTTTCCTTTCCTTTCCTTTCCTTCCTTTCCTTTCCTTTCCTTTCCTTTCCTTTCCTTTCCTTTCCTTTCCTTTCCTTTCCTTTCCTTTCCTTTCCTTTCCTTTCCTTTCCTTCCTTTCCTTTCCTTTCCTTTCCTTTCCTTTCCTTTCCTTTCCTTTCCTTTCCTTTCCTTTCCTTCCTTCCCTTCCCTTCCCTTCCCTTCCCTTCCCTTCCCTTCCCTTCCCTTCCCCCCCTTTTTTTCCCTTTTCCCTTCCCCCCACTTTTTTTCCCTTTTCCCTTTCTTCCCCTTTTCCCTCCTCCTCTCCGGATGGCTGCAGGAGCAGCCTGGGCACACGTTCTGGCCAGCACTGGGATGGGGACACGCCCTGGGAATGCTGTGCCCCAGGGACAGTCACCCACCACCGGCCAGGGGAGCAGCGTGTCCCCACCCTGCTGGCTCCCCGTGGGCACGCGGCGTTCCCGGGGCCGTGCCCACCTTTGGTTTGTCGGGTTCCCGGGAATAGGCCGTGTACAGCTCTCTGAAGACACCCTGGGCTTTGGCAAAGAGCGTCTCCTCCTTGTAGATGTGGTCGATCCTGGACTGCCGACAGCCAAACACCAGCACCATGGGACACGGCTTCAGCCCTGGGGACAGCACGGGGACAGCACTCAGCCCCAGGCCACCAATTCCCAGGAGCCACCTCCAACTCCCACCTCCACCTCCAATTCCCACCAGCCACCTCCAATTCCCACCTCCACTTCCAATTCCCACGAGTCACCTCCCTCCAGACTGCCAGCACATCTGCTGGGACACGCCCGGCAGGGTGGGACCTTCCTCCTGACACCCCAACTCAGGGTTCCCAAAAGCTGTGAGGTGAGGAAGAGGATGGCCCACCCAAAAGCTGTGTGAGGTGAGGAAGAGGTTGGCACCACACAAAATCTGTTTGAGGTGAGGAACAGGACGGACTCACCTAAAATTTGTGTGAGGTGAGGAAGTGGATGGCCCCACCCAAAATCTGTGAGGGGAGGAAGGACATCCCCACCCAAATTCTGTTTGAGGTGAAGAGCTGGACTGCCTTGCCCAAAATTTGTGTGAGGTGTGGAAGGATGGCCCCACCCAAAAACTGTGTGAGGTGAGGAAGAGGATGGGCCCACCCAAAATCTGTTTGAGGTGAAGAACAGGACGGCCTTGCCCAAAATCTGTGTGAGGTGAGGAAGAGGATGGCCCCACCCAAAAACTGTGTGAGGTGAGGAAGAGGATGGCACCACACAAAATCTGTGAGGGTGAGGAAGGACGGCCCTTCCCAAAAGCAGTGAGGGGAGGAAGGGTGGCCCCACCCAAAATCTGTGAGCAGGAAGGGTGGCCCCACCCAAAATCTGTGAGGAGGAAGGACAGCCCCACCTTTGTGCTGGATGTCGAAGAGCCGCTGCTGCCAGAAGCTGCGGAAAGGGGCGATGCCGGTGCCGGGGCCGATGAGGATGCAGGGCACCTGGGGGTCCTGGGGCAGGTGGAACCCGGGGGCACTGCACACATCAAAGATCCAGTTAGACACCAGCAGGGCGCTCCCTCTGCCCAGTGAGACACCTCCCGGAGAGGGAGGGCTGGGAAATGAGGTGAAGTCCCACAATGTGACATTTTTGTGCAGAATTTCTCTCAGAGGGGAACCATTTGCCTGCAAACCCAGCCCTGTTTTCTCCCACTGTGACAACAATCGAGGGCAGGGAGCTCACCCTGTGAGGGGTCTCACCCCCTCTTCCTCAGGCCTGGCCCCGTGTGGGTCACTCACCCTCGTACAAAGCAGGGCACCACTTCATCCGTCTGGATCCGACTGAGCCACGAGGAGCACACACCGTGGTGGATTGGTCCCTCTCCATCTGGGAAAGGAGGGAGTGTGGTATTGCTCTGGGGTTTCCCTCCCCAGAGACCCCTGTAGCTGTGACCATGTTAGTTTAACCTTTCCTTCCTTTCTTGACCCAACTGGCTGGGAGCCAAGTAGCCCATCCAGTACTGAGCCTGGATAAGGCTCTGTCCCTTCCTTGTTCGCTCTCTTTCCCTCTTCCTCCCCTGGAATAAACATCTTGGACCACACAGGGGGTTGGAATCTCTTTTGGAATCTTTTGCCTTGCTCCTGAAATACTTCCCCCCAAGGCCTCACAGATCTGGGCTAGCCTGGTAACTTCAGGGGGCTGCAGCGGGTAGATATTCCAAGGGGGGATGGATGGAGGTCTGTATGTGGCACATCACCCAACGACTCTGTTTTCTGTCCTAAAACCCTCCCTGCTACATCCTGCATGAACACCTCCCTGAAACATTGCATACCTCAGCATCCATCCTCCACGAAGCTGGCAGAGTTTGGCACTTGGATCCCTCTGTGGAGTTACCCAGGACCCTGACCTGGCATAGCTGGACCTCCACAATCCATAGGGAGCACCCAGCTCTCCTTTGGCCTATTTTGGCAGGAGCAGCATCGTGAAGCTCCCAAACACAAACCCTCCATGGCAGCTCCACTGTCCTCCTGTGTCCTGCAGAGTGCCAGGGCTGTGTCCATCCACGCCATGATCATGCTTGGACACACCAAGGCTTGCACTGCTACACGAGATTGGCTGCTGGGGATTTTGGGGTGGGCTACATGGGGCTTGGGTTATGTACCTGCCTGTCTCAGGATGAAAGATTTAACTGGGGGAGAGTATTTTATCCCTATCTGTTAGAGGTGGGGCATTCTGTTCATTGGGCAGTTTTCTTTATCTCTCCCACAGCCCATCCTTCCTCCAGGAGATCTCTGCTGTTCATGGCCACTGAGTGTCCCTGCATGGCTGAGAAAATTCCATCATCCATGGGGAGATGCTGTGCCCAGGGGAGGAGCCAAACATTCCTACCTGGATACAATCTGACCTGGGAACAGCACAGCAGCCTTTGCCCCCTGCATTCCCAGAGGAGCAGCTTTCTTCCCTCTGCATTCCCAGAGGAGCAGCTTTCTTCCCACTGCATTCCCAGAGGAGCAGCTTTCTTCCCCACTGCATTCCCAGAGGAGCAGCTTTCTTCCCCACTGCATTCCCAGAGGAGCAGCTTTCTTCCCCCCTGCATTCCCAGAGGAGCCCAGGCCCATCTCCCCCAGCCCTGGAGCTCCAGAGGAAAACTCCCCCCTTGTGCAGGATCCTGCTCCAGCAGAAGCACAGCTGGCACTGCAGGAGGGCTGAGCCACCCTGGGATGGGACTGCTGCCACCTCCCTGACCCACAGGGGGACAGGGCATTTCTGACTCTGGCAGTGGTTGTTTTATATTACTGCAATTTTATTTTACTTTTATTTTTTTCCCAAATAAAATTGTTACTCCTATTCCCATATCTTTTTCTGATAGCCCCTAATTTCAAAGTCATAATAATTCAGAGGGAGGGGATTTGCATTTTCCATTTCAAGGGAGGTTCCTGCCTTCCTTAGCAGACACCTGGCTTTTAAACCCAGACACTGCCCCAGAAGTGTCATCCCTGTGTCACTGCCACTCTCCATGACATGGGACAGCAGTGGTTTGGGGGAATCTACTTGTGGCAACAGGCAGAACCTTCCCAGGCGTTGTCCTGGGGAAGGCTGTGAGAAGATCAGAGAAAAGAATGAGAAACAATTCTTATCTTCACTTGCTGCACCTGCTGCTGTGAACATGTGGAATGTGTTTTGGAGATTTGTTGACCAGAGGGTGATTTCTTGACTGGCCAATGGAGGTTTGGGGGGCTGGCCCTGTGCTTTGCCCGGAGCCCCGGCCCTGTGCGGTACCTCGGGTGCGGTAGGACACCACGGCCACGGTGAGGTGCACCTCTCCTGGGTACATCTCCGGGGATGAGCTGATGGAGTAGTAGCGGGGCTGCAGGAGGGGCAGCTGCGTCAGCAGCAGCGTGGAGGGCATCTGCACCGAGGGGAACTCCTCCAGCACCTCCACGATCGTGGGGTTCTTGGACCACTTCCACTCCTCGTACTCCTGCAAGCCCTGGGAAAGAGAGAGGGAGGAGAGAGCTGCAGGATCCACCTTTTCCAGGTGCCCCAGGTGATAACCATGGCAAAGCTGGAGTGGCTGGCAGCTGTGAAAAATGCATATTATATGGCTCTACGCAGATAGATACTATATTGATTAGCTGTGCTTTTGTAGTTAAAATGAAGAATTTGGTAGTTAAAAAAAATATTATATATATAGAGACTCTGTATGTGGGGAGGAAGGTTTTTTGTTTTGTTTTTTTTTAGGATGAGATGCTCGCTTCGAGGAACACCTAAATCTTCCAAAGGAAATAAATTTATGGCTTCTTATCAGAAGAAACTAATTTCTTCAGGCCTTGCTCAGACTCAAAGACGCCAGGGGATTAAAGGAAACAGTTGACATACAACAGACAGAGTTTCTTGTTTACAATAGAATGTATGCATAACCATGAAGGATGTATGAATATGCAACAAGTGTATTGTTTTAGGGGTGATTCCTTTGTTCACAAGTCATGCTTTTCGTGACTTAGTGTCCGAGAGCATCCGGACCTCTGTAATTCTTTGCTTTTTATTGTCTTGTAATTGTCCTAACTCTAAACTTTATTACTCTAATTCTATGATTATTTCTATAACCATTTTATTATTATCAAACTTTTAAAATTTTAAAAACCAAGTGATTGGCATTTTTCACACAGTGAAGGCACTCTGAGCCCTGCTCAGGGGTGGAGGCTCAGCCTAAGCACAGTGTGGGATGGAAATGCCCTGGCTGGGCTGTGATTGCCCCCAGGCCCTTGCAGAATGTGGGGCTTGGGCTCTTTACCTTGCTGAGGACCTGCAGACGTTTCTTCTCCTTGTCACTGGTGGCCAGCAGAGCGAACTGCTGCAGCAGCAGCGGGGTGGGAGGCGTGGTGATGTCCAGGTAGTACTTGAAGGCCTGGAAGATGGTGCAGGGTGGGACACGGTTCTCGTCTGTCCAGTTGCTGATGACACCTGCCAGGGGGGAATCCGGCACAAGCCTGGGATCAGCTGAGCAGCAGGGCCAAGGTGGGCAAATCCTGGTTTTCATCCCCCTCTGAGACACTGGATTAGGGTTTTCCATCTCCAGTTACACCATGCATGGCAGCAGGGAATCAGACTTATCCCTGAAATACGGTGTTGGGATGGCCCCTCCACATCCCTTAATTCTTCTGCCCAGTCTTGGATATTGCCCTTTCTAAGGGAATATAAACACCTTTAGTTTTTCCATGGAAAACCTTCCCCAGGGCCCTACCCTTGCTCCACATCCCAAGTGCAGACAAGCAATGGCTCTGGGCAGAGCAGGGACGAAGGAGGTGCTCCCACCCCAGGCAAACACAGCAGGGAGATGAAAATAATTTTCCTGGGGCCACCCACCTCCCTGAGGAGCTGCAGGGAAAGGAGGAGAGAGGCCACCTGTACTCCCTGGTTACCTAGAGCTGTGCTCCTCTCCTCCAGCAGCTCCACCTTCACCAGCTGGTTGGTCGGAGGGGCATCCTCAAGCCTGTCTATGAGGGCATTGACCAAGTCCTCATGGTTGCCTGGGAAGACGCCCAGGTGGTCCCCGGGCTGGTACTGCAGCTCCTGGTGCCCGTTGGTGTGCAGGCGCAGGAAAATCGTCAGGCGGCTGCCAAGGGGGAAGGAGGAAAAGCAGGGAAAAGTGGTTTGGGGGATCCTTCCCCGAAATTGCTGCCTTTGGGGTGATCTTTGGGAAATCCCCAGAGATCCTTCAGGGAGTGGCTGTGCCCTGGTCTCAGAGCTGCTGGTGAGCTGGGCAGGGGTGGTGGCACATCCAAGCTGTGGTGGCCGTGTCACCAAGGTCACAGCAGGGAGAAGGGACACTGCAGCACGCCCTGACTCACCCTCAGGGACTTTTTAAAAGGGAAAAAACAATTTAACCTCTTGCTCAGCAATTTCATCCTTCCTTTGCAGCTCCTCCAGCCATCTCCCCATCCCATGGGCTGAGGGAGGGACTAGCAGGAATTTCACCGTGCGTGGAGGCCAGGAACACCCTCCACTGCCTTCCAGACTGACTCATGGCCTGCACAAAGGTGGCTTCCATGGACATCCAGGGCTCAGGGGCTGTTTGTAGCACTGTTTTGGGTGCCACAGGTGTGCTTTCAGCTCCCAGGACAGCTGCATCTCCTACCTGGACTTGGGGCTCTGCAGGTTCTGGCGTGCGAGGAGCCGCGCTGCATAGACGCGTTTTTTGTGGATGCTGTACAGTCCTGAGGAGGAAAAGAGTCAGGGAAGGGATTCAGCAGAGCATGGCCAAGGCTTCTGTAGGATCACTGTGGGTTCAGCCCTTCAGACCAGAGCTGACCACAGGGGTTTGACCTCTCTCCTGCGAGCCCAAGGGATCAGAAACCCCAGGGGTGACCCAAGCACGTTTTTTTAGTGACAGAGAGGACTCCAAAGCCACCCCTACGACACTCAGGGCAGTGCCCTCACATTGCCCACAGCTCCTCTCGCTGCAGGTGCCACCTGGCTGGCAGGAGAGGATTTGGGAAGGGCTGAGCCGGTGCTGCAGGAGCCGTGCTGAGGGGCCAGGTGTCCGTGGGCCGGACCTGCCTTTGCTCCACAACGCTCCATGGAGCAGCATTGCACAAAATAAGCCTGGAAAGATCCCAAGGTTCCAGCTCCTCGCTTCAGAAAACGGGGTTAGGGGGAGGGAGAGCAGCTCATGTCCAAACATCTCTGTTACAGACACAGACAGGGACCGGCCAGAGGGGCCTGGGGCTGTTCCTTGGGCAGGGAATGGGGGGAAAGGCAGGGCTGAAATGCTGGGAATTTAACAGAGACCAAAAAACAGGGTCTGGTCCCTTTGCCCCTGTGTCTTGTCCATGTGGCCCACAGGCAGAGCCTCCAGGGCTGTACCTTGTGTGAGCTCCGGGGCCTCAGCCACGTAGGTCAGGCGGAACTTGCTCCTCTTCCAGCTGCGGTCGTTGCTGATCAGGGAGTTGTTGGCTTTCTCGATGTTGACATCGTCCCCCACGCAGAACACGTCACAGGCTGCCTGCAGCACGCACCAGGCCCTCAGGCACCCCCCGAGCCCAGCCACCCCCTCATCCCAACCCACGCGGAGACGGAGCCCCCAGCAGGGTGGGGCTGTCCCAGCGGCCACGGCCACGTCTCCTGGTGCTCTCCTTCCCAAATATTTGGGATGACGCAGGGATTCAACACCCGGGTGAGCTTTGGGTGGTCAGCACAAACCAGAGCATCAGCTCCACCCTCTTTATTGCGGGCTAGAGTGGTGCTGGAATGTGCTGGGAAGGGGAGGCTGGGTTTGGATCCAGCTCCAGCCTCTGTCCTTCTCCCCCCTGCTCCTCCCTGCAGCCCCAGGTTACCTTGAAGACCTTCTTGGCCCAGGTCCTGAAGGATTCCTCCTGGCCACAGAGCTCATCCCCTTCTCCCATGCGGAGGATCCTCTCTCCGCCCAGCTCCTCCAGGAGCGTGTCCACGGCGCGGGCGAAGGCGCAGAAGTGGGGGTAAGCCCGGGAGCCCAGCCCGAACACGGAGAACCTGTGCAAGGATGGCTCAGCTGTGGCTGCTCAGCCGGGAGGGACCCTGAGTGGGAAGTTAATCCCACCAGAAGATACCAGAGTTTACTAATGTGTTCCCTAAATCGTGGGGCTCACGCCTGTCTGACACACACGAGGTGATGAGCAGTTTTCAACCCCAGTGACTCACCACAATGCAGCTGTTTTCACTTACTATATGAACAATTTATTCTGAGAATTCACTTGATGTGTGGCTTTGGTGAAAATTTGCAGTTTGTGCTGCACTAGAGACCACATGTCTGGGTAGCAAGTCAGCAAATGATAGGTCAAGTTGAAAAGCTTCATCCAGATACAGCTATTAAGTTTTAAAAATCGCAACTATTGATCTGAATTCTTTCAGTTCAGAGCCAGGTCTCATGGAAACATTACAGGAGCAAGGAGTTCTGGAATTTGCCAGTGCACAGCTGGCCCCTCCTGTCCCACCACCACCCACAGCAGCCTGGAGGGGTCTGCACATCCCCAAAACTCCTCAGGGTGAGGTGGGAGCTGCGGGCTCTGCGCAGCACCAGCTCCTGCCCTGTCCCCTTTACCTGACATTTGCCAGGGGTCCTGTGCTCTCGAAGTTGTCCCTGGAGTCAGGGCCATCACTGGAGGATTTCCTGGCATCCGAGTAGGAGGAGACGCTGTTGAACCGGACCTTGTAGCTCCTGTGAACAGCGACAGCACCCAGGGTCACACTGGGGTCACCTGCGTGCCTCTGGCCTGGCTTCGGGCTCACAGGGGTCCCAGTCGTGGGGGACACCAAAGCAGAGCTCAGGGCTCACAGTTCCACGAGCAGGCACTGTGGGAAGAGCAGAGGAATGTGCTCCCTCCGGGGGTAAAGCCAGAACAACCCCTCTGCATCCCGGTCCTTGTCACCTCCCCCTCTGCTGGCCCAGGTGCTGGCTGCCACGCTGTCCCCAGTGATGCTGAGCTGCCAGGACCTTTGGCTTTACCTGTCCTTCCCCGGCAGCACACAAGGTCAGGGTGTGTCTGAAGAGACATTCTGAGGGTTGTTTCATTCATAGGAAGTGGGAAATAAAAAAAAAAAAAAACAACAACCAAAACTGAGTGAGAGAAGAAGGGATGAAGAGGGGGAAGGGGAGCAGAGAAAAAAAAAAAATCTGACAACAGCAGAAGTATTTCTGAATTGAGCCATCTCCCAAAATTGCTCTGCACAAGAGTTTCTAAATTTACAGGCAGAGCAGCGAGCAGTGCTGCGTGCGTGAGTCACGGCACAGCTCCTGCACAGCGCGGCCCCGAGCCCGGTGACAGCCGGGTCACGGAGCCCCAGGGCCACCTCTGCTCCTCAGCCTCCCCCTGTCCCCACACCTCCACGCCTTCCTGCCCCTCCGCCTGCTCCAGGCCACGCTGCTGGCCCTGGACGTGTCCCAGCCTGGGTTATCCCGGGTTAGGTGGCCTCCCTCCCGCTCCGAGGTGCTCCAAGCTCATCCTGCAGCCTGGGGGATTTTCTGCAATCCCAACTCTGCTCAGGGCAGCAAAAGCCTCTGGATTAGATGGACACAAAGCCCAAAGTGCCCAGGTGGGTGCTGGGCCAAGGCTGGGCCAGCAGCTGGAATGAGAAGGTCCTTGTGGTGCGGGGTGGATGGGCTGCATTGGAACAGCAGGCTTGGAATAGGAATGGCTTAGGAACGCTTTGGAAAACCCTTGGGAAACCCTTGCTGTAAGGGAAACTTGGAATGGAAAACTGGGAATGGGGTTGGGAACTGGGAATGGGAAGGGGATCTGGGAATGAGAGTGGGAATTGGGAATGGGAAACTGGGAATGGAAAACTAAGAATGGGAATGGGAAACTGGGAATGGAAAACTGAGAATGGAAACCTGGGAATGGGGATGGGAACTGGGAACTGGGAATGGGAAACTGGGAATGGAATACTGGAAATGCGGATGAGAATGGGAATGGGAAACTGGGAATGGAATATTGGGAGTGGGGATGGGAACTGGGAATGAGAATGGGAATTGGGAGTGGGGATGGGAACTGGGAATGAGAATGGGAATTGGGAATGGGAAACTGGGAATGGAAAATTTGGATTAGAAAACTGGGAATGGGGATGGCATCTGGAAACTGGGAATGAGAACTGGGAATCAGAACTGGGAATGGGAAACTGGGAATGGAAAACTAAGAATGGGAATGGGAAACTGGGAATGGAAAACTGAGAATGGAAACCTGGGAATGGGGATGGGAACTGGGAATAGGAATGAGGAGTCAAATACCAAGCCCAGCACAGCCTCCCTGGCGGGATCCTGTGACACTGTCACACTGAGAGCCCACCCTGCCCTGAGGGGTCTCAGCATTCCCTGGGGGAGCTGGGACTCCATGGGGTGCATGGGCTGGAGCTGCTCTCTCCAGCTGTCTTTCACCAGGCTGACACTGTCCCTCTCCCCTCACAGCCTCCTCCAGGTCTCCTTTTCTCATTGCAAAAGGTTTTTTGTGCACTGGATGTTAGCAAGTCCTGGATATTGGTTGGGGCAATCCCAGAAAGAGAAGCTGTGGATGCCTGCATCCCTGGAAGTGTGCAAGGCCAGGCTGGATGGGGCTTGGAGCAGCTGGGACAGTGCAGGTTGTCCCTGCCTGGCTCTTAGAAACTCCTACCAGCCCTTAAATCACACTTGGAGGTATCTGGGACAGCAAACACTGAGCTCAGGGGCTTTTAACCTCCTGGAATCTGCACCCAAGGAGATCCTTGGGGTGAGAACCACGTGTGGAACTCCCCTTCTCTCCATGCCCACCCCTCCAGGGCAGCCTGCACATCCTGCTCTGGCACTGGCCCCATTGAGGCACGAGGCCACGAGGAACCTGGGGGGTTTTCAGCTGGGCAGCCCTGCAGGGATCCATCAGCTGGGCCAGCACCTGGGGCTGCAGCAGGGCCACTCTGGAGAGCCCAGGCTGGTCCCTGCCGTGTTTGTCACCGCCCCGGTGACACCACACCGAGTCAGGGCGCTGGAATTGTCCTGGATCCCCGGCAGGGCTGCTCCCTCCTGAATTGAGGAGCAGCCCTGTGCCAATTGTTAGCTCAGGAGACATTCCACGGCACAGCAGTGACCCAGTTCAGGGAAATATTTTATTCTTTGCAGCTAAAATAAGAGGAGACCCCAAATTACCATTGTCATCGCCTTCCCTTCCTTTCCTTCCCTGGGATCTGCACAAAGCTCATCCTCCCCTGAAGGGGGATTTTCTACAATCCACATTCTGTCTCCAAGGTACCGGTTACAAACATCACAGGCTTATCACAGCTCTTATTTTCCCTAGAAATCTTTTCACACCATGCATGGAGCTAAATCTGGTTCTGCAGCCCTCCCCCACCTACATCTGCAAGGCTGGGAACTCCCTTCTACCTCCAACTCTTTCTATTTTGGTGCCTCCTGGATGGGCCCTGGCTCTCAGAATCGATGATTTTGGGGAAATGCCTACTTTTATCTGTTTTTTTTTCACAGATTCCTGCCTCTTCAAGATGAAGAGAGAAGCTTTAAGTGTCACCCCAGGGAATTACAAGTTGGGATCCACAGGCACCCCTGACTCTGCGCTCTTGTCCTTCCTGGGACCTCCAGTTTCTCCATTCCCTGGGTCTCCAGGCAGGTCCCATCCCTGGATATTTGCAAAGGTGAGACCTGCCCGAGGATTTCCCACTCCCCTGTGAGAGGATGAAGGCAGGGAACCTGTCCTGCATGCTGGGGTTTGCACTGGGAGGGGAAAGGGCTGGAGTGGTAGGGGAAGGGGATGGAGTGCTCTTACTTCCTCTCCTCCAGGTTGGAGTTGGGATTCTTCATCTCCATTAATGCACAGCCAAATTTCTACAGGAAAAGAGCAAAAAAGGCCATCAGCTTTGTTAGGTTTTGCAGGAAACCAAGCCCTGAGCACAGCCTGGGCCGTGGCTCTGCTCTGTGCTCGCTGTTCCCAGCTGTCCAGGGGGCTGTCACCTTGTGTGTGACACTGCTGGTGGGCACACAGGACGAACTGAACACGGGGTCAGTGGCTGTGTCATGGCAGGGAATCAGGAGATAGCCCTGCTCCAGAGCAGGCTGGAGGCTCCTACAGCACCTGGACCTGCTTTGGGTCCTTCCAGCTCAGTCTGAGCCAAACGAGGACGTGCCTGGCCCTGTGCCCTGCTGTCCCCTGCTGTCCCCTGCTGTCCCCTGCTGTCCCCTGCTGTCCCCTGCTGTCCTACCTCTCCATTCTCAGGTGGGTCCCCGTTGCCGAAGGTGCTGGTGACCACCAGGACCATGGTCTCGTGCTCCAGGTGCACCACGTCGTACTCATCCATGGACATCACCTGGGGGCACAGAGAGGTCACAGAGAGCTGGGAGCCTCCTGGGCTGCCTGGGGACAGGGACAGCACATCCCTGCTGGCACCTCTGCATGGGGAGGGTGGGACCTGTGGGAATCCAGGGCTTCCCTCTGGCTGCCCTGGGACCCTGGCAGGGGTCAGGAACCCCCCTGGACAGAGCCCCCAGAGACACTGGCTGTGATCTCTGCCCATGGAAAAGAGTTTTCAATCTTACAGGATGAATTACAAGCTCTGAGTGTTTGATATAAGTAATAATTAAGTGTGGCACGGGTGCAAAAGTAAAATTTTAGGATTCTAGATAAGGGGTTCAAAGGGGACAAGATGGAGGAAATTGGGTGTGCCTTGTCCTTTTTCTCCTTCTTCATGCCCTCCATGTTTCACTGTGGTGTTGGCATTTTTCTGTTGGTTCAGGCTGGGGACACACTGTCCAACGTAGGTGACAGATATTGGCACGTTATTGTAAATCCAGCACAGGTAGTTTCTGGTATTTAATGTTTGTACCATCCCACTGAGGGCAGAGCCCCACACGCTGCCCTGCAGGACAGAGCTGCGGCAGGGCAGCAGAACATGTTAGAGATAAACAGAATAAACAACCTTGAAACAGCACAGACCAATTATGGCTTCTGCTTTGGCAGCGGGGCAGAGAGACAGAGAATTTTTGCAATCTGGGAGTCATCAATACCTCAGATTCTGACAGGACCAGGAGCCTGGAGGGACACGGGCAGCCCTGGAGCTGCCACCTGAGGGGCCACAGCTGCAGGCACTGCAGGAAATCAGGGATTTTTCTCCAACCCAGACCCACAGGGCACACCCTGGGCAGCTGTTTCCCACGGATCTCCTTGGAGCAGCCCCGATTTCACGCCCATCATGTGTCAGGAGCTGGGAGCTGGTGCAATACCTTGGCATCAAAGGCGTGTTTGAAGATCTCACACAGGGTTTTTGCATAGACCTGGGACTTGCCCGTTTCCGTGGCGTACAGGATGGTGGCCTTGACCCTCTTGGCCATGGCTTGGCCCATCAGCTTGGCCGAGAACTTCACAGCCCTGGGAAGCAGAATAAATCCCAGTCAGAGCCTGGTCCTTACCCGTGCCTCTAGCCCAGACCTTTTTATTCCTTATTAAATGAACAGCCTTATGAAGCTGTAGCATCAATTTTTTGGTTGTCACATGGCAAACAAGGAAGCTTTGGAAGAGCTCGACTTGTCAGGGAGGAAAAGGAAATGGGGGAGCTTGAACAGAGCTCAAATAACCTTAATGGGGTGAAGGAGGAAAATGCTAAACCAGGCATGGGGGTGGTATTTCTGCAGGGGCACAGAAGCAGGAGAAGAATCAGGGGCAGGGAAAAAGAAAAAGAAAAAGGGAAAAGGGAAAAAGGAGAGAGGAGAGAGGAAAAAGGAGAGAGGAGAGAGGAGAAAAAAGGGAAGGGAAGGGAAGGGAAGGGAAGGGAAGGGAAGGGAAGGGAAGGGAAGGGAAGGGAAGGGAAGGGAAGGGAAGGGAAGGGAAGGGAAGGGAAGGGAAGGGAAGGGAAGGGAAGGGAAGGGAAGGGAAGGGAAGGGAAGGGAAGGGAAGGGAAGGGAAGGGAAGGGAAGGGAAGGGAAGGGAAGGGAAGGGAAGGGAAGGGAAGGGAAGGGAAGGGAAGGGAAGGGAAGGGTGCTTTTCCTGCAGTTCTCCCCACTGGCTCAGGGCACACAGAGGGGCCAGGGGCCACCAGCCTCTCTCCAGTCCTGGCCCAGGTGATGCAGCACCAGGAATTGGGTTTCTTGTCTGTGGCATCAGTGGGAGCACCGTGATGGGGGCAGGGGTTGGGGTTTGTCATTTTAGGGACATTCATCATCACATCAACACTGCCTTTCCTACATGCCAAACACCTTCTTTTCTAAGGGGACCACCAAGCCCTTAAATGAGGCCACCAGAAAGGCAGAAAGACATCAGGTCTGGATTTAGGCTGCTGTTGCAACAGGGAAAGGCAATTTTTGGGAGTCTGAGGGAGCACAAAGCATCTCTGTGGCCTCTGCAAGAGGAAGGGCTGCCTGATGCACTTTGACAGCCCTTGCCCCAGGTTTTTGAGTCCTGCAGGGCTCCTGCATCCCCTTCAGATGAGCTGTGGGAACAGAGACTGGGCAGGAGAAGTCCAGTTCCCCCTGCCCCTCCTGCCCAGAAGTACTCTGGTTTGGGGGAATCATTTCAGGAGGCCAAAAAGGAGGAAGAGGAGGTAGAAACTCCTCCAGGCTGGTTTATCCTGCCTGCCCCTGGCAGCTCCTCTCCACGGCAAGGTCAGCCTCAGGAACATTTCTGTTTGCTGCTGCATCCCCAGCCTCAGCGGAGCTCTGCCCCTTTGTCATCCCCTGCTGGCAGTGTCCCCTGTCCCCAGGACCTGCACTGGCCTCAGGGCAGGGACTGCAGGTCTGAAGGCTCAGATTTGGCCAGATTTTGGAGTCTGAGCAGGCACCAAATCATGCTGCAGGCTCTGGGCTCAGGCTGCCTTTTCTACAGCTGATAAGCTCAGATCCAGACAGGATTAATGGTGAATTACAAAAACAATTCCTTTCCCTACACCAGGAACAATGGAGATTTTGTTTTAAATGACCTGCCACGCTCACATTTTTATAAAACCATCCCTCAATGGGGCAGAGGGGAGCAATAAAAGCATTTTTCCTCCAAACTCCATGAATCCTCCTGCTCTTCCCCCAGCCCCAGTGTCAGCTGCAGGAGCACATTCCTCAGCTGCTGATCCTGTTTATGGATGCACCAGGGAGAGCAGCTCGCAGGAGGTGACAGCTGAAGAGTGGGAACAAATTGAGAGCAGGGATTCAGGGAAACTGAAGCGTGGGGAGATGCTGTGATGAGCCAGGGCCACCTGGCAGCCTGGCCACCGTCAGCAGGGCACACCCAGCCCTCTCCTGCCTCAGCCCAGGGCTCTGCTGCCACGGAACCAGCAGCTCCTCTCTGCCAATGGCCCCCAGGGGAGGAATTTGGGCCAGAATCAGCCAAAGGGTCCAAACTGAGCTTCATTCCTGCATCCCTGCTGCTGAGGAGCCTTGGCAGGGAAGAGGGACTGGGGTGGCCCCTTGCCAGGGGTCAACTGAGCATGAAGTGCAAATCTCAGCTCAGCTCTGATCCATCTGCTGCCTGCAGGGAGGTTCCTCCTTCTCATCTCCCCCCTTCCTTCCAAAGCAGGTGTTTGGAGGGTTGGGCACACACCGAGGGCGGGTTCTCCTCAAGTAGGGAAAAAGTCAATGGGAAAAGGAGGAATGTGGACAGGAGTTTGATTTTGTTAGTGCCAGCACAGCCCTGAAGAGGGAGGGGGATCTTCCTGCCCCAAGGAAAGGAAAAGCAGGCAAAACACCCTCCAAAAGTGGGAAAGCCATCCCTGAGCATCAAGACCTTTGAACCAGAGAATGAAGAGCTCAGGAGAACAAACAATATCCAAGATCTGGTGTTCCCCTGCTCACACCCCTTTTGGGGGTCTGAGGGGGTGCTCAAAGGACTGCCTGTGCCCCCAGAGGTCCCTCATGGCAGGTAAAGCCTTCAGCAGCCCAAAGCCAGGCTCAGTGCATCATCTGTAGGCTGATGCACACACCCACAGGGGCTCAAATCCAGGAGCAGCCCCAGACATTCCAGGCCTTTCCAGAGCACGCTGGTACTCACTTTGCCAGCTTCTTAAAGCCAATGGCCCTCTTCTTGGTGGGTGTCCCATTGACCCCTTTCCAGACGTGGCTGTTCCAGGGGTCCGGCTAGGAGAGGGAAAAGCAGGATCAGAGGGTGGGGAGTGCTCAGAGCTTGGAGAAATCCAGCATCCACAGCACTGAGAGTTAAATTCTTCCCGTCAGGAAGGGGAGGAATAGCTGCTACTGCACAGCTCTCCCTCTCCTCTCTGTGTCCCTGATCCTTGGAGCCTTGTGGGTTTTTTTTTTTTTTTTTTTTTTTTTGGGCAATGGAACATGCCCAGGAAAATTGCAATCTAATAAACCCTCCTGGCTTGTAACAGCATCTGGCCAATTGCTCTGTCGCCTCTCGAGAGGAGCGTTAATAGGCCACAGCCAAAAAAGAAGACAACGCCAGAAGGGGAGAGGTGATAGAAACAGATCCTTTCCCCTGCTCTGGCCACAGGTTTTTTCCCCTAAGAGGCCCTTTGGGAAGGGGAGGCAGCTGAAGGCAGGAGCAAGCACACAGAAGCTGATTCCGTGCCCTTGCAGGCTGCAATCAGAGCCAGCAAGCATCGGGGTTCCTGGTGGGCTGCTTGCAGCAGTGAACAGACTGCTCCTGCTCCCTGATTGTCCCTTAAGGGCTCTTGACTAAAGGTCACATTGTGTGGAAAGCACCGGAGCAGGGCTGCCTGGAGAACCAGGCACTGTTTGCTTTGGGGTTTTCTTCATGGCCCGGAGTGGTAAACACCCCAGCAGCAGTGCCTGAACCCCGGCTGGGCCTGCTGGGAAGGAGCCCCTGTCCCGCTGCTGGATCCCCGGGATGCAGGAGCTGGAATGGGATGTGGGATATGGGGTATGGGATATGGGGTATGGGATATGGGGTATGGGATATGGGATATGGGATATGGGATATGGAATACAGGAGCCGTCCTCTCAAACCTGCAGGATGGAATGGGATATGGGATATGGGATATGGGATATGCGATATGGGATATGGGATATGGGGTATGGGATATGGGATATGGGATATGGGATATGGGATATGGGATATGGGGTATGGGGTATGGGATATGGGATATGGGATATGGGGTATGGGATATGGGGTATGGGATATGGAATACAGGAGCCATCGTCTCAAACCTGCAGGCTGGAATGGGATATGGGATGTGGGATATGGGATATGGGATATGGGATATGGGATATGGGATATGGGGTATGGGATATGGGATATGGGATATGGGATATGTGATATGGGATATGGGGTATGGGATATGGGATATGGGGTATGGGATATGGGATATGGGATATGGGATATGGAATACAGGAGCCATCCTCTCAAACCTGCAGGCTGGAATGGGATATGGGATGTGGGATATGGGATATGGGATATGGGATATGGGATATGGGATATGGGATATGTGATGTGGGATATGGGATATGGGATACAGGAGCCATTTACTCAAACCTGAAGGCTGGAATGGGATATGGGATATGGGATATGGGATATGGGATATGGGATATGGGATATGGGATATGGGATATGGGATATGGGATATGGGATATGGGATATGGGATACAGGAGCCATTTACTCAAACCTGCAGGCTGGAATGGGATATGGGATATGGGATATGGAATATGGGATATGGGATATGGGATATGGGATACAGGAGCCATTTACTCAAACCTGCAGGCTGGAATGGGATATGGGATATGGGATATGGAATATGGGATATGGGATATGGGATATGGGATACAGGAGCCATTTACTCAAACCTGCAGGCTGGAATGGGATATGGGATATGGCATATGGGGTATGGGATATGGGGTATGGGATATGGGATATGGGATATGGGGTATGGAATACAGGAGCCATCCTCTCAAACCTGCAGGCTGGAATTGGTTATGGGATATGGGATATGGGATATGTGATGTGGAATATGGGATATGGGATACAGGAGCCATTTACTCAAATCTGCAGGCTGGAATGGGATATGGGATATGGGATATGGGATATGGGATATGTGATGTGGGATATGGGATATGGGATACAGGAGCCATTTACTCAAACCTGCAGGCTGGAATTGGTTATGGGATATGGGATATGGGATATGGGATATGGGATATGGGACATGGGATACAGAAGTCTTCCAGGCCATTTCCCCACCCACCCATTAGGCACTTCCAAAGTGTGGTTAAGAATTGGGAGCTCGGGTGTCCCACATTCCCACAGAGGGGCAAACCCCCATCATTACACGATGTTAGGGTGAAATATCCACTGTGAAGGAACGGGATGGTGTCCCTCTCCTTCCCGCACCTCCTGAGCTCCCACTCGCCACAAGGCAGGGTGAGGGCAGCGTGGGGACAGCACCTGGTACTCAAAGGAGGGCGTCAGGCGGTAGTTGAGCATCTCCTGGTGGAAGACGGGGGTGATGCTGCCCGACATGGGCGGGACGATCCAGACCCAGTCGGCGGGACAGCCCCCCCGGCACCGGTACTCGTTCTCCATGTGCTTGATGAAGGACTCGGTGGCCGAGTGGTGATCCACGATGGTCACCTTGTCACTCTGTCAGGGGACAAGAGGGCAGAGCCAGCAGCTGTCAACACATCCCAGAGGGAAAAAGCCAAATTTTTACATTTGGAGCCCAGATATTCCTTACTGCCATGGTCTTTGGGGATGATCCGAGGTGGCTGCTGAGCCTGGTTTTCCCAGGGAGGCTCTAAAGCTGCCCCAGTGCTTTGAGAACAGATGTGCTATGGGAGCCCTGCTCCCCCTGTCCTGGCCAAGCAAAGATGGGATGGATGGGATGGAGCATCCTCTGCTCAGACCCTTGGGAAGCTCTCCCAACCCAGCTTTGGGAAGGACTCTCACCCTTTGAGGCGGGGTGGCCAAGGACTGGTTTTGTTACTCAACCTTTAGGTGCAGGCTGGGGGAGAACCTGGGCCAGCTCCTGCCTCATGGGTAGGTCAGAAGGGCTGGACTTTCCCCCTGTTGGGATATTCCTTCTGGACCAGCAGGACTCAGGTGCTGGTGGTGTTTTTTTATACCATCCAGAGTGTGGAGATTATTTAATCTCACTGCAGCAGCCCAAATTCAGGAGGCATTGCCCAATTTCAGCTGTCATGTTTGGGTGGATGTCTCCACACTTGTCCCACCCAGTCCCTGCGTCCCTCCAGGTTGGCCCAGACGAAGCAGGGCCCTGAGGTACCTGGAAGCTGTAGAGCACAGCGATGTTGATCTCCACCAGGGCCTGGTCCTTCCACAGCGAGGACGTTTTCCTCATATCCAAGTTCATTTTCTTGGCCACTTGCTGTAACAACACATGGCAGGAGGGGAAGGAAAAACAAGGATTGGAGAGCTCTGCTTGGGGAGAGGAACCCAGAGAAGAGGCCCAGGCTGGCACAAGGCACCCACAGGGCAGGGAAGGGCTGATGTGGTGCCTTCCTCTGGGAAGAAATCCTGCCTTTTCCTCTCCAGGGCAGGAGCACGGCCTTTCCTCCTCCCTGCGCAGAGGCAGGTGGCCAAATGCTGCTGAGGAGGCCACCAGGAGCAGCTGGACACTCCCACTGCTCCCACCCCTCTGGTTTTCAGGAGACTGGGGAGGGACAGAGCCCCTCTAAATAGCACAACCTTCCCTGGGAGGTTCTGATAGATCCAGACCCCCTGCACAGGCACCTTCCCATGGCTTGGCTTTGTCTCTCCCACCGTGGGCATTCCCTGAGCCATGGGACCAGCTGGAGGGTCCCCAAGGGCACACACATCCCTGAGGAGCCACCAAGTGTCTCTGCACCCTTTCATGTTTCAGCACTTGGCCTCAGCTGAGCACAGGTGCCTGCTGATCCATAAGATTCTTTAGGAAGCCTGTGGGGAACTCCACTGGGATCACACTGGCTGTGTCAGACCCCACTGGGCCCACAGGACACAGAGACCTCACCAACCTCAGCCATGTGGCTCCAGGAGAATTCACAGACTCACAGAATGACCAGGTTGGAAGAGACCTTCACGATCATTGAGTCCAACCCAGCCCCAGCACCTCAACTGAGCCCTGGCACCCAGTGCCACAGCCAGGCTTGTTTTAAACACATCCAGGGATGGTGACTGCACCACCTCCCTGGGCAGAGAATTCCAGTACTTTATCACTCTTTCAGTGAAAAACTTTTTCCTGATATCTAACTTAAATTTCCCTTGGTGCAGCTTGAGACTGTGTCCTCTGGTTCTGTCAGCGCTGCCTGGAAAAAGAGACTGACCCCACCTGACTGCAAACACCTTTCAGGGAGTTGTGGAGAGTGATAAGGTCACCCTGAATCTCCTTTTCTCCAGGCTGAGCAGCCCAGCTCCCTCAGTGGTTCCTCACAGGGTTTGTGCTCCCAGCCCCTCTCCAGCCTTGTTGCCTCCTCTGGATGCACTCAACCATCTCAACATCCTTCCCAAAGTGAGGGCCCAGAACTGGCCCCAGAAGGGACATCCCGTGCTCTCCCAGTGTCCTGCCTGTCCCCAGGAGCCCCGGACCCGCCGGGAGCAGCAGGAGTCAGTCACCTCCAGGATGTTGTAGCGGGAGCTGTCACAGTAGTCGCGGACGCCGATCTCCGTGCCCATGTACCATCCACTGAAGGGGCAGGCGGAGAACTCCAAGCCCCCGATCTCCAGGAGCATGTTGGACACGGCTGGCAGCCCGTACCACTTCAGGCCCAGCTCCTTAAACCACTCAAACCTGCCGAGGAAAAAGGTCAGGATTAGGCAAAAAGCCAGGAACTTCCTTCCCAGTGCAGGCAGGGGGATGGGGGAGGTCACTTTGCCAGCAGGGCGAAGGACTTGAGCAGAACATTTCCATCAGCAGCTCCCTTTGGGGCTGTTCATGGGGACAAGGTGATTATGGAGGGGTGTAAGCCCTGGGAAGCTTCAAGGAAAAGGAAACTTCCTAAGAAAATCCATCAGGATACAAGGGAAAGCCCTGAGACATGGACACTGCCCTGCCAGCTCTGCCAACTTCACTGGGGGGAAAACCTGGGAGAGGTTTTGGGTGAAGCCCCCAGGCCATGGCAAGGGTGGAACCGGAGGAGCTCAGTCCTGCTGATCCCCTCGAGCAGTTTTGGGGCTGCCCCTGACTCACTTGGGGTGTCGGATGGGCACTTCCAGCACGAGTTCTGGTGGGATTTCGAAGAGCTCGGGGTCATTGCCGTTGGCTTGGAGGAGCAGGGGCAGGATATCGAAGCGCCCGTATGGAGCCTTCCAGCCTTGCTGGATGCAGATCTGCAGGGAAAATAAAGGCAGGGTTGGTGTCCCAGCAGGTCACCTGCTTTCCAGACAGTGTGGGAAGGGAATTGTGTGGTCCTGGGCACTGCTCCTGGCATGATTTCTGTCCTTGTGGTAGAGCAAAGGGAGTTACAACAGGGGGTGGCCTGTCCCACCCATGGACAAGTCAGGGGAATCTGAGCTGCAAATGAGCCTGGAATTGGTCCCCAGTAGGATCATGGCTTGTGCCTGTAATGGTGAAGGAGAAAATGGGTGAGAAAAGCTGAAAAGTGACAAAGCCCAGCCTTTACTCCTGGGGAAAAAAGCCTGAGGGTGACACAAACCCAGCCTCCCCAGCTAGAGCTGCACGGGACAATCCCAACCTGCTTGAGCCATCCTCTTCTCCCTCTGAGGGTGCCCAGAATTCCTGTGTGTCCCCAGCAGGCGTGGGAAGGGCAGGTTTAATGTGGGAAATGGATTTGTAGGGAATTCTCCAAGCCTGACAGGAGGCCCACACAGTGTGCATCTGTGTGCAAACCTTGAGACAAGAAATGCTGACTTAGAAATGCCATGGAATAGGACAGGCATTGCTGGGAGAGAAATGGAGCTAGAAACAAGCTTCAAAGGATGGCCTTGAAAATAAGGCTGGATACTTTGGAGAAATTGGACTATGAAAATGCATTGTAGTGGGACTCACGAGAGGTAATTTTAGATGATTGGCTTTAAGGCATCTACAGCATGGTGTGGCTAAAGCTGACAGACCAAGAAACACTTACAGTGTTTTGTAATTAGGAAATAATCAGCTTCTGATTGTGATGGTGTGAATTATAACATCTGTATTGTCTCACCCTTCTCATGAGACTGAAAACGGAATGAAAGTTTTTAAAACACCTCTCGGTTGCCCCATCTCTCATTTACAGGGAGAAGGTGATTACAGAGGGGTGTAAACCCTGGGAGGCTTCAAGGAAAAGGAAACTTCCCGAGAAAATCCATCTGGATACAAGGAAAAGGAAACTTCCCAAGAAAATCCATCTGGATACAAGGGAAAGCTTCAAGGAAAAGGAAACTTCCCAAGAAAATCCATCTGGATACAAGGGAAAGCTTCAAGGAAAAGGAAACTTCCCAAGAAAATCCATCTGGATACAAGGGAAAGCTTCAAGGAAAAGGAAACTTCCCAAGAAAATCCATCTGGATAAAAGGGAAAGCTTCACAGAAAAGGAAACTTCCCGAGAAAATCCATCTGGATACAAGGGAAAGCTTCAAGGAAAAGGAAACTTCCCAAGAAAACCCATCTGGATACAAGGAAAAGGAAACTTCCCAAGAAAATCCATCTGGATACAAGGGAAAGCTTCAAGGAAAAGGAAACTTCCCAAGAAAATCCATCTGGATACAAGGGAAAGCTTGAGGAAAAGGAAACTTCCCAAGAAAATCCATCTGGATACAAGGGAAGGCTTCGAGGAAAAGGAAACTTCCCAAGAAAATCCATCTGGATACAAGGGAAAGCTTCAAGGAAAAGGAAACTTCCCAAGAAAATCCATCTGGATACAAGGGAAAGCTTCAAGGAAAAGGAAATTTCCCAAGAAAACCCATCTGGATACAAGAGAAAGCTTCAAGGAAAAGGAAACTTCCCGAGAAAATCCATCGGGATACAAGGGAAAGCTTAGAGGAAAAGGAAACTTCCCGAGAAAATCCATCTGGATACAAGGGAAAGCTTCAAGGAAAAGGAAACTTCCCAAGAAAATCCATCTGGATACAAGGAAAAGGAAACTTCCCAAGAAAATCCATCTGGATACAAGGGAAAGCTTCAAGGAAAAGGAAACTTCCCAAGAAAATCCATCTGGATACAAGGGAAAGCCCTGAGACATGGACACAACTGCCCTGCCAGCTCTGCCAACTTCACCGGAGGGAAGACCTGGGAGAGGTTTTGGGTGCAGGCCATGGCAAGGGTGGAGAAGGGTGAGGAAAGGGCAGAGTGGCGCAGCTGTACCTCGGTCAGCTCCACGTTGGCGGGGTCCCCCAGCACGGAGCCGTCGGGCTGTTTGTAGCCGGCGTAGCGGATCAGCTGCGCGTTCCAGATGCGGAAGTCGTGCTTGCTGTCCGTGCGCTGCGGGAAGATGGTGATGGCAGACCTGGAAGGGAAAGGCAGCGCTGCTGATCAGCGCCAGGAGCTGTGGGAAGGGTGAGATGATGGAGGAAAAGGTGCTGCCACCAGCTCTGGCTGTGCCATGAGTGAGGGATGTGAGTTGTTACGCTGGTGGCTCTGGAATTTGGGGTGTTCCCAGACCCAACCCCAGCAGGGCCCAGAGCTGGATCTCCACTCGTCCCGAGGCCCTTGGGTTCAAAGCCTGGTGACTCCCTGGTGGCTCACCTGAGGTTCCCCTTGTTGGTGGCGTACTTGATGTGGTTGCAGATGTAATTGAACATCCCATGGGCCGTGGTGCAGTCCCGGGCATCGAACACCTGGAACAGGGAAGCAGTTGTGTGTCGGAACTCAAAATGCCCCTCAGACATTTTTGGATGTTCTGGGCCCAGGTCAGAAGCATTTGAGACCCTGGCAGGCAGCTGGAAACAGCTGTGATTTTGGGTTTGAGCCATGGAACGATTTACCAACCTTGCAGGAAGAACAAGAAGTCACAAAAGTTTAGATATTAGAGTAGAAGTAGTCACAAAGTAAAGGGAAGAATTTTTGAGTGCTGTACAGGGGGGTTTTAGGTTTTGTACATGGGGGTCAGAGGGTTTAAGATGGAGGGATTTGGGCCTGTCCTGTCCTCCCTCTTTCTCCTTCCTTACCTCCATGTTCTTGTTGATGTTGGCACTCACGGATTGGTTTAGAGTAGAAAAGCACCATTTAATATAGGTAATAGGCATTGGGGAAAAACTGTAACCATGTAACATGTAATGTACCATATAAAAGATAGAAAAGCACCATTTAATATAGGTAATAGGCATTGGGGACAAACTGTACCCATGTAACACGTAATGTACCATATAAAAGACAGCAGCAGCCCTGGGCAGAGGGGGAGAGAAGAAGCAGTCGGGAGTCAGAGAGGATGTCAGGGTGTGTGTGTGCCTCTGCCTGAGCTGTGAGCAAACCACAGCAGCCCCAGAAGAAAATCTTTTAGATAACTTGCAATAAACTGCCTTGAGACTGAACAACAAGAGACTGCTGAGCCTTTCTTTGGAAGCTCGGGCTGGAGGAGAGACTTTTCCACCACACAGAGCCACCCCAAACTAGGGATTGCTCCAGCAGTTGTGGGGATGTTCCAGCTCCTAGGGCAGAGCCAGGCAGAGGAAACAAAGCACATGGAGAACTCCAGGCACCACTGTGGCTTCTCAGGGATCTAAAGCTCCGTAATTATGTGTTCCCTGCCTTTGGAACACGTGGAAGTCTAATCCAGCTGCCCCTTTTGCTTTGGAGAGGTGACTCATCTGCTGCTCAGGCAAAAACCTCCTCGTTCCCGTGCTCCCAACCTGCTGCTGTTCCTGCCTCATCCCCCAGCAATTACGGAGTCTGCTCTGCTTCTCTTGTAGATCAGCACTCCAAGCTGGAGCAGGACAGGTGTCAGTCAGGGCTGAGGGACAGGGAATCATTTGGGTTGGACTTTTAAAGAGCATCTCATCTCATTCCCTGCCCATGGCAGGGACACCTTCTATTACCCCAGGCTGCTCCAAGCCCCATCCACCCTGGAAGTGGCCTTGGACACTTGCAGGGATCCAGGGCAGCCACAAAAGCATCAGGAAATCAGGAAGGGGGAGCAACAGAAGAGACTGTGCCCATTCCCTGTGTGAAGCAGCCTCAGGAGCTCTCAGCAGCGCTGGATTTGTTCCAGGTTACAGAAGGAGAGGACAGCTCTGTACCAAGGGATTCCCTAGGGATCACTGATTTCCAATCCTGCTCTGTGTTTCCCTTGCCAAAGGGGCGCTGAGCCAAATCCTCCCCTGCTGCATCTCAGTACTGAGGACAAATGTGTCCTGCTGCCTCGCTCCAGGTGGAGCAACAGGTTGGAAACAGCAGGAAAGATGTTGGAGCAGGATCTGATATTGGAAAATGTCCCCTGGAGCACCAGCTTCCATTTCAGACACAGCCACCTCATCTCACACCCCACAGACACTTTTCCAGCTCCTGCCAACATCCCAAAGCTGCTGAGGGGAGCTGTGTGTGCTGCTGAACAGCTGCCCCTGGACCTGTGCTGTGCTTCCCAGGTGGTGGGGAGCAGGATTTGCCTCTCCAAAACTCCAGCACAGCCTCTGGCAGGAATCTCCTGGGTGTTTCTGGTGGGATTGGTGCTGACCTGCAGCTTGGACCACTGGATCCTGCCCACGCAGCGCGCCGCGTTGCGCCAGGCGTGCTTGGCTCCGTAGATCAGCTCCGTGTCCCGCAGCTGGTAGGTGTCAGTGGCCTCAATCTCCTTGGTCACCTCCTCCAGCCTCTCCATGTGGGCCTTGGAGCCGGATCTGGGGAGGGTGGGAGCACAGGAGGTGCAGGGTCAGGTGGAGGGCAGGGGATGCTGCTCTCCACCGGGAATACCTCGTTCCTACACACACCCACAGGATTGTGTGGGTGCTTGTCCCAGCTTTGGGATAAGAGGTAGGCAAGGACAGGGGGAGAGGACAGTGGCTTGTGCAGAGACACAACAAACACCACGAATGAAACTCTACCTAAAAGCATCTGCTGAAGGAGCACCAAGGCTTCCCCCTGCTGTGACTCACATACATGGGAGATCAGATAATGAAATCATGGAATGGTCGGGTTGGAAGGGACCTTAAATCCCATCCCATCACACCCCCTGCCACAGCCAGGGACACCTTTCACTGTCCCAGGCTGCTCCCAGCCCCATCCAGCCTGGCCTTGGGCACTGCCAGGGATCCAGGGGCAGCCACAGCTGCTCTGGGCACCCTGTGCCAGGGCCTGCCCACCCTCCCAGGGAACAATTCCCAATTCCCAATATCCCATCCATCCCTGCCCTCTGGCAGTGGGAGCCATTCCCTGTGTCCTGTCCCTCCATCCCTTGCCTCAAGTCTCTCTCCATGTTTCTTTTTGCCTCCTTCAGGCACTGGAAGGCCGCAATGGGGTCACCCCAAAGCTTCTCTTTTCCAGGCTGAACAATCCCAACTCCCTCAGCCTTTCCTCCCAGCAGAGCTGCTCCATCCCTCTGATCATCCTGGAGCCTCCTCTGGACTGGCTGCAGCAGCTCCAGGTCCCTGGGGCAGCTCTGGGTGACACTGGGGACATCTCGGCCCCGGCAGCAGCCCCGGGCTGTGGCTGAGGAGCACTCACCTCTTTATGGAGGAGTAGTACTGGTCAATGAAGTCCTTGGCCAGGAGCAGCACCTCCTCCTTGGTCCTGGTGTCCTCTGACTTGCGGATGTGGGGGCTGGGGGTCATCACGGAGCCCATGCAGATCTGCTCGGTGCACGCCGTGGCCTGAGGGGACAGGAGGGACAGGAATGCTCTGAGGGGACAGGAGGGACAGGAATGCTCTGAGGGGACAGGAGGGACAGGAATGTTCTGGAGGGACAGGAATGCTCTGAGGGGACAGGAGGGACAGGAATGTTCTGAGGGGACAGGAGGGACAGGAGTGCTCTGAGGGGACAGGAGGGACAGGAATGCTCTGAGGGGACAGGAGGGACAGGAGTGCTCTGAGGGGACAGGAATGCTCTGAGGGGACAGGAGGGACAGGAATGTTCTGAGGGACAGGAGGGACAGGAATGCTCTGAGGGGACAGGAGGGACAAGAATGTTCTGAGGGGACAGGAATGCTTTGAGGGGACAGGAGGGAGCAGAATGCTCTGAGGGGACAAGAGGGACAGGAATGTTCTGAAGGGACAGGAGGGACAGGAATGTTTTGAGGGGACAGGAGGGAACAGGAATGCTCTGAGGGGACAGGAGTGCTGTGAGGGGACAGGAGGGAGCAGGAATGTTCTGAGGGGACAGGAGGGACAGGAATGCTCTGAGGGGACAGGAGGGACAGGAATGTTCTGGAGCCACCACGGCATTGCTGCTCACCAGAGCTGGGCTGGGGCAGTCAGTGACCACCCACACAGAGAAAGGTGGTGTCTGACAAACAGGGACATCCCAGCTGGCTGGGGACACTGGGTGGTGGCAGCCAGGCCTTGTGCAGCCACCACTTCTCCCTCCTGATCCAGGCAATGGAGAGATTGGATTCACACCCCAGCTTGGCATGAAGTCAAATGCTTTTCCTTATTTATCCCAGATGCATTTCCATCTCTCTGATTATTGCACCATATTCAAAATTCAAAACCTACTGGGGTGTCTCAGGTTGAAAGCTGTGGCTGGGGGTGTGTGTTCTATCCCCATCTGTCAGAGCTGGGGCAGCTCTCTGCTGTTCATGGGGCAGTTTTTTCTTTATTTCTCCCACAGCCAATCCTCTCTCCAGGAGATCTCTGCTGTTCATGGCCACTGAGTGTCCCTGCATGGCTGAGAAAATTCCATCATCCATGGGGAGATGCTGTGCCCAGGGGAGGAGCCAAACATTCCTACCTGGATCCAATCTGACCTGGGAACAGCACAGCAGCCTTTGCCCCCTGCATTCCCAGAGGAGCAGCTTTCTTCCCACTGCATTCCCAGAGGAGCAGCTTTGTGCCCCACTGCATTCCCAGAGGAGCAGCTTTGTGCCCCACTGCATTCCCAGAGGAGCCCAGGCCCATCTCCCCCAGCCCTGGTGCTCCAGAGGAAAACTCCCCCCTTGTGCAGGATCCTGCTCCAGCAGAAGCACAGCTGGCACTGCAGGAGGGCTGAGCCACCCTGGGATGGGGCTGCTGCCACCTCCCTGACCCACAGGGGACAGGGCATGTTCTGACTCTGGCAGGGTTGTTTTGTATTACTGCATTTTCTTTTTTTAATTTTTAAATTTTCCCCCCGATAAAGAACTGTTATTCCTGCTCCCATATCTTTTTCTGATAGCCCCTAATTTCGAATTTATAACAATTCAGCAGGAGGGGATTTATATTTTCCATTTCAAGAGAGGCTCCTGCCTTCCTCAGCAGACATCTTTCTTTTCAAACCAAGACATGGAGACAAGACTGAATTCCCCCATTCTGCATTCCTGGGTAAATCCACCTTAGAAGCTGTGCCATCCACTCAACGGTGCTCGGGGAATATTGGCCAGCTCTACTCACCATGGCATTCTTGAGGTGCAGGGTGTCGTGGAGCACGGAGCCCGTCTCCCAGTTCTTGATTTTCACAAAGCGGGGGCACTTGGAAGGGCTCCCGTTCTTGGTCGGGGACTGGCGCCCGGATGGCGGCGGCTGGAAAAGATGGAACACCCAGCACAAGGTCAGAACTCATCAGCAAAATGCAGGAAAAAGTCCCAACAACACAGCATCGTCTGTGGCTGGATGGCTGTGTGTAAATTCCAGCAGTGACACAGCCAGACAAGGTGGGTTATCCCAATATTTGCTTTATTTGGGATCCTACAATGGAGCAGCTGACGCACAGGTGAATAAAGAAGTCATGTCTAGTTATCAGACAGCAAAACTTGTGGAAAATGAGCTAAAAACAGAGGTGGAAGTGACTTGGAAAATGTTGTGTTGAGGTTTCTTAGAGGAAGACTCTTCTCCAAAGTCTGTGGGATGTTTCTTTCCAAGGAGCTTCACCTGCTCAGGTTCTGCAGGTGCCAAGCTCTGCCTGGAAGAACAAAGAGCTGAGCACCAATCTGAGCAAGCCAAAGGCACAGCTCCTCTGATACCAATGCTCCAAAGCTTGTAGGAATGGGGATGGATAAATTATCCAAGCTGGGGGGGCTGCTGAATCATGAGTGGTTGGATTTCTCCAGCTCAGCTCCCTGACACTGCCTTGGGATGGGCTCATCCAGCTCTCCTTGAGATCTGTGCCAGCACAGAGGAGCAGAACTGGCTGCAGGTGCTCCTTTTTGCACATTTTCACAGACAAAACTGCGATTTTCTGCTGTGGCCCTTACCCCAAGCACTTAAAGCTTCAAGAGCCGCCGGTGTCTGCCCATGGGGACAGGGCAGTGTCTGCAGTGGCTCTGGGCAGCAGAGCTCTGTCTCCCAGGAATCAGATCTTACACAGGGATGTAATTCCAGCACTGGAACCACGGCGCTGCTGCTGCAGCTCTCCAGGGGACATCTGAGAGCGTCCTGGCCAAAGCTGCTGGTGTTTGGCACCACTTCAAGGCTCTGCACAGCAGCTCTGGGCTGGACTGGCTCTGTCCCTTCCTACAGGAATCCTGGGGCTGGTGTTCCTTTTGAATTAATCTGGTTTTCTTGAAGCTGACACTGCCTTTAGCAGAGTGTCACCTCCTTTCTGGGGATCCTGGGCTCCTGTCACCCTTACAGCAGCAGCACAAATCCAAAGAAGCAAAGAAGCAGCACAGGGTGGGAGAGGCTCCTGGCTCAGGAGGGAAAGCAGCAGGAGGCACAGGGACGGCAGAGCAGCCAGGCTCCAGCTCTGACTGGTTCCCACTTCACCAGAGGATTGCTCTGCTTTCCCAAATCTTGGAGAGATCCATCCTGGCTGACTCCAAGGCCAAGGCCTGGGCTGAGCAGACACCTTTGCACTGCTGGCCAGACTTTTTGCTCAGTTCTTGTTTCTACCATAACGTCCAGACTTTTTTTCTTTTTTTTTTTTTTTTTTTCCCATGGAAAACAGGGATTTCAAGCAGACTGAGGCTCGTGGTGTAATGCCACACTCTGAAAACTTATTCTGGGAGCAAGGGACAGAGGCTGGAGGGGAAGGCAGAGATTTACAGCCTGAATCCTCAGCAGAAGCTCCTTTAGCCCTTGCAGTTTCCAAAAGCTGCTGCCTGCACCCCCTCAGGCTGTGCTGCTGTGGATCTCTGACATTCCTCATGCCACAAATCCCATGATTTTCCCAAGGAGTGTGTCGAAGTCTGCCCCTTGAAGCCAAATGTCCACACGCCACATCTCAGCCTCCCCTTTGCATGTTGCAGAAACCAAATAAAAAACCTCATGCAGAGCTCAAACCCAGCAGTAAATAAGAAGCTCCTCAATGTAGTCCTGGACAAACACTATTTTTAAAGCTAATTTTTTTCAATTTTGAAGAGTCCAGCCTGAATCATGGCAGTGGCAGCTCCTGGTAATTTTTTCCCCCTGCTTGTTTTACTCTTCCAAGAGAATTGAATTATTCTTTAGTCACCAGCAGCTTCCTGTGCTCCCTGACCCACCCCGAGGGCCAAAGGGGACAATCTGCCACCTTCCCTCTGCGCCTGATTGCTCAGAGCAGCTCCCTGAGATGGGCAAAATGTGCTGAAACCAGCTCAGAAATGCAACCAAAACCAATCCTCACCTGCAGCTCCACCTGCCAGACAGAAACCAGGAGCACCAGGCAGGGAGCGTTGATTGTACCCAGCACTTTTTAATGGGAGTTTTGATCTCCTGGCAAGGTGTGCTGCTAAAATACTCCTTGCTGGAGCAGGTACGGCCCTAAAACGTGCTGGGAATGCAGATGAAGCAATGTCCCCATCCTCGGAGCAAGTGGGGGGATGCAAGAGTCAAAAATGTGGCCAAATCTGAGCCTTCAGACGTGCAGTCCCTGCCACCATGGGATGACAGAGGGGCAGAACTTCACTGAGGGTTGGTGCTTTTCTGCCTCAAACCCCCTCAAAGCTGCTCCCTTCCCATTGACTGGGCAAGCTGGAACCTTGGAGTCATTAAGATCAGGAAAGGTCTCCGAGGTGGTGGATCCAAACCTTAGAGTGAGCACCAAGCTGTCACCTAGAGGAGAGCAGCGAGTGTCATTTCTGGGACACTTCCAGGGATCAATGGGACCCCATTAATCCTTCCCAGTGCCTTGCTGGGAGAGGCCCAGGGAGCAGAGGGATGCTGAACCCCGGCCAGCAGCCAGGCTGGAGCAGAGGTGTCACTCTGACAGCCACATCCCGGAGCAGCTGTGGAGAGAGAGAGAACCCAGGGCAGCTTAGGAAAGAGCTTGTGTGAGTTTTTGTGTGTGTGTGCTGAAACCGGAGCCAAATATTCCCCCGCCGCTCTGCCGGGGAGGCTGCGTGAGATCTTTTCATGTTTTAATTAAGCAGCTGGGCCATGGGTGACTCAGGAGAGGGACAAGACAACTGCGGCAGCCGCGGCGCACACGCGTTCTGCAAACAGCTCGTACCGGAGCGTGCCGGCACTCGGGGCTCCCGAGCTGTCTGCTCCCGCAGGAGGAGCCCCCCAGCCCTGGGGCTCCTTGGGGACACGGTGACAGCGGACATCTCCCGTCCTGGGCTCTGCAGGTGCTCACCCCGCGCTGGGTCGCAGCGGGGCGAGCGCAGCAGCAGCAGCCGGGTGGTGGATTTAATTTATCTCCGCGCTGGTATTTCCGTCCACGCTGGTTTCAGAGCGTGTCCTCTGCCTTGGCACAGCTGTAAATCACCCTCGCAAGCTGCTCTGGAGTCGCTTCCCCCCAGAGCCAGGCGGGCACAGAGCTCCCGCTTGCCCCCGGGCTGCCCGCAAATCGGTCCCTGCGGAGTGAAGCCGGACCTGGCACAGCCACGGCATCCTCAGGGTTAGGGCCAAGGGGATCGGGCTCCTGGGAAACCAGCAAAAAACAACGTGTGGTTTTGTAAAAAATAACAGAGCGATGGGGATCGATGCCCAGCGGGGCTTTCAGCACCTTATTACGAGCCTCAGTGAGCATTCGCCACCTGGCCAAGTGAATCCACCCAATCCTGCTTCAAAAAAACCCAAGGAAAGTTCCCACTTGGCTTGACTTTCCCCTGTGTTAATAGTATTTATTGCTGCTTGAAAGAAGTTCAGCTGCCTTGACTGCACACAGCCCCGGGAATGGCTGGGGGAAAAGCCAGACTGCTTCCAGAAAAGCAGGCGTAAGGATTCGGGGATAAGAAGGATAAAAAGAAAGCTGTGCATCCAGTGGAAAAAAAAAAATAATAAAGAGTTTAATAGCAGCTTAAAACTGGTGGTTTTGGCAGCCCCAGCACAGAGAGAAATTAAGCTCTGCACACAGAAGGTTATAAAGTGCTTATAGTAACAGACACGGACACGCAGCGGCTTAGCAAAGGAGGCAGGGAGACGGAGTCTCTGCAGAGCTGGGACAAAGGGAGCAGCACTGAGCTGCTCAGGATTCTGTCCCCGGGCTCAGGATTCCACGGGCTGGGACGTGGGGCTGCCCAGGGCCATCCCCCAGTGGCTGCTGCAGCTCAGGGGTGCTGCCACTGCCGTGGGGTGACACTCAACCCAAGGGTGGCTGTGCTGCCAGACACGGTTCTGAGGTGAGGGAGGGTGGAAGTGCACCCAGCCAGGCTGGCCACAGCCCTGCAGCATGGCCAGGGCTACAACAGTGCCCTGTGTGGCCACCAGCACCAGCTCAGAGGGCTCGTGTGTCTCTTATGGGTGTCTGACGCTGCCAGGCTGCAAAAGTGTGTGCGAGCATCATTGCATGCAGGATTGCCAGGAGAAATGCACCCAGTTCTGGGGCCCAGCTCAGGAGGGACCCAGAGCTGCTGGAGAGAGTCCAGAGGAGGCCACAGAGATGCTGCAAGGGCTGGAGCTCCTCTGCTCTGGAGCTGTGGCTGCCCCTGGATCCCTGGCAGTGCCCAAGGCCAAGGACAGGGCTGGGAGCAGCCTGGGACAGGGGAAGGTGTCCCTGCCATGGCAGGGGTGGCACTGGATGATCCTGTAGGAATCTCTGTGGTCTTCAGTCCACCAATCCCTCTGCTCTGGAGCCAGGCTGGGAGAGCTGGGGGTGCTCACCTGGAGAGGAGAAGCTCCAGGGACACCTCAGAGCCCCTTGCAGGACCTGAAGGGGCTCCAGGAGAGCTGGAGAGGGACTGGGGACAAGGGATGGAGGGACAGGACACAGGGAATGGCTCCCACTGCCAGAGGGCAGGGGTGGATGGGATATTGGGAATTGGGAATTGTGGAAATTGTGGAAATGGGAGGGTGGACAGGCCCTGGCACAGGTGCCCAGAGCAGCTGTGGCTGCCCCTGGATCCCTGGCAGTGCCCAAGGCCAGGCTGGGTGGGGCTGGGAGCAGCCTGGGACAGTGGGAGGTGTCCCTGCCATGGCAGGAGGTGATCTCCCCTTCCATGGAGCCTGGTCCCCAGGTCCTGCCCTGGACAATCCCATCAGGGAGATCCTTTTGCCCAAGCAGAGCAGAGCTCACGCACGTCGTGTTTTCCCCGAGGTGATCCTGGTGGCCTGGCAGGGTCTGCCTGACGTCTCTGGCTCTGCTACAAACGTGGAGTTAATCTCCTCTTGGCAGGGAAGCCTGAGAATTTACGGCCGTGGAGTGTGAGGAGATGAAAAGGCACCGTGGAAGGCATTATCTGAAGTGCTCTATTGAATTACCATCAGATGAATCCAAATGACTTTAATGATGCAGCTTGGCCTTGTGCCACCCAAAGGGATCACGTTCCCCAGGGAGGCCTCGGCGTCCTGCTCCCTGGCTGGGCTCCCATCCCACGTCAGCCCTTGGATGAGGAGCATCATTCTCCAGTGACCTCCATTCCCTGCCTGAACCACAGCCACTGCAGCTCCTGGCCCAAACAGCCTCTGGGATCCATCACCTCCAGCTTTTGGGGCCACACGTTGTCCCTGCAGGTTCTCTGCGCTGTGAGAGCCCTCCAGCACGGGTCACATTCCCACAAACCTTGGGAATTTTGGTTTTCCCACCCAAAGCAGCCCCAGCCACGGCCTCTTACCTGCTCTGCTTCGGAGTGGGGGTTGTTCAGGACCACGGGGACGTTGCTCTTCCCCCACAGGTCCCCCGGGACACGATCGTTCTCCATCCGAGCCGGCAAAGCTTTCTGGGGATTGTTCTCCCCTTCCCTGAAACTGAAGCGTTAAAAACCTTTTGGGCTGCTGGCACCACGGGCACAGGTCCTGCTCCAGCTGCTTCCCACAGGAGCTGAGACTTGGCCAGTGGCCCGTGGGAAGGGAGGAAAGGCAGAGCCTGGGCCAGGGCGCTGAATCACCGAGGGGAGAAGAGCTCCAACACCGTGGGAGCTCCACCTCGCAATGCCCTGTCCCACACTGGCTCTACAGCAGAGCCCCTACACCCCAAAACCCGGCTGGAACCCCGGTAAAACCAGCACGGAGAGGGGCAAAGGAGGCTGGAGAAGCTGGTGGCACTGGGAGTTTGCAGAGCAGCTCGGTGTTGGTGAGCGGGAAGAGGAAAAATAGCCCAGAACAAACAGGAGGCCCCAGGAGCTCTCCCTCCTCTCCCTGACCTTTCCAGACGCTGGAGTGGAAGAGATTTCAGCCAAGCAATGGAGGGATTGCCCCTGGAATGGTGGGGATGGGGGAGGGCTGGGCACCGGGGACAGCCCAGCGCTGGGTGACACCGGGGTGACACCGGGGTAACGCTGGGGTGGCTCAGGGGTGGCTCAGGGGTAACTCAGGTGTAACTCAGGGGTAACTCATATGTAACTCAGGGGTAACTCAGGTGTAACTCATATGTAACTCAGGGGTAACTCAGGGGTAACTCAGGTGTAACTCAGGTGTAACTCAGGGGTAACTCAGGGGTAGCTCAGGGGTAGCTCAGGGGTAACTCAGGGGTAACTCAGGGGTAAATCAGGTGTAACTCAGGGGTAACTCAGGGGTAACTCAGGTGTGGCTCCCTGCACCACGCACATTTTGGGATGTGGGGAGGCTCTGAAATGCCACCAGAGCTGATGCAAAAGCTCTGCCAGGTGAGCCCTCACCAAGGGGAGAACAAAGGGGGTTTAGAGAGGTGACATTCAGGCAGGCAGGGGTGGCACCTGTGTCACCAGCACCACCAAGGCCACCAGGGAAGGGGCTCCTGGCTTGGGCTGAGCAGGGGCACGGGTCAGGATGGGCACAGGCACCGAGGAAATGCCCTCTGGAATGGTTTTGCTCCTGCTGTCGGTCCTTAAAAGCCTTCCAGGTGCCACTGAATCAATAATGAGAATTCTCATTAACGGGGGCAGGGTCTGGGCACTGACCAAAGTAGGACACTTGCACCCAAGGCATAAATCAAACCACCAGGATGCTCCTGATTCAATTTCAGCAAGACAAATAAATACAAATAAATTCAGTTTCACAGTCCTTGAACTCCTTTAGCTTAAGGAAAAGACTTCATTTAAAGAGCATCTCCCTGTGCTTTTCCTGTCATTTTTCTGCTTTTACAGAACCATGCTCAGCTGCCAAAATATTTCCCATGGCTATTGGCCACCTTCCAAACATTGGAAAGGGGCCACCTTGGTGCAAGTGAGGAGGCACAGGTGCCTAAGGGCCCTTTTTAACTGGGATTTTTGTGCCCCTCCAGGCCAGGAAAGCTGTTTCCTGGTGACCTGGCTCCTGGGAGGATGTGAAAGGGTTTCAATCAGATAAAAGTGAAAAGGTTTCAATCAGATAAAACCCAGCTTTTAAGAAACCCCACCCGCAGCAAATGGATTTGTAGGGAATTCTCCCAGCCTGACAGAAGGCCCACACTGTGTGCAAACCTTGAGACAAGAAATGCTGACTTAGAAATGCCATGGAATAGGGCAGACATTGCTGGGAGAGAAATGGAGCTAGAAACAAGCTTCAAAGCTGGCCTTGCAAGCAATACTGGATTCTTTGGAGAAGCAGAACTATGAAAATGCATTGTATTAAGACTTATGATTGATTGGCATTAAGGCATCTACAGCATGGTGTGGCTAAAGCTGACAGGCCAAGAAACACTTAGAGTGTTTTGTAATTAGAAAATAGTTGGCTTCTGATTGTGATTCTGTATTGTCTCACCCTTCTCATGAGACTGAAAATGGAATGCAAGTTTTTAAAACACCTCTCGGTTGCCCCATCTTTGGGTCAGGAAAGGGCGTAACCCAACAGGGACACCGAGCCAGGTCAGCACAGGGCCACCGAGCTCCTGAAGTCACCTCCAGCAGCTGACAAGCCCCAGCTTCTCCTCACATCGGGCCCAAAATCCAGGCAGAAGCACTGAATTCATAAGGAAGAGATCCCTTGGCTCTCCTGGAACTTGGGACTTAGAGAAGGAACCCGCTGGAAAACCACAGGGCCTCTCCAGGAGAAGTTTAGGATCAGCCACAGATGCTACAGGCACCTCCAAAAGGGTGCTGGTACCTGAGAAGGGTCTGCAGGGCCAGTGCCAGCAGGAGAGAAGCCTGGAGAGGGACCCATCCTTCGGCAGCAGCAGCTGGAGCCCTTGGAATGTGGGATCTCATTGTGGATCTCATTGTGGGACCTCATTCTGGATCTCATTGTGGGATCTCATTGTGGGATCTCACTGTGGATCTCATTGTGGATCTCATTGTGGATCTCATTGTGGATCTCATTGTGGGATCTCATTGTGGGATCTCATTGTGGATCTCATTGTGGATCTCATTGTGGATCTCATTGTGGGATCTCCTTGTGGATCTCGTTGTGGGATCTCATTGTGGATCTCATTGTGGGATCTCATTGTGGGATCTCATTGTGGATCTCATTGTGGGATCTCATCAGCAAAGCCATAAATGTTGGCAGCTGGAGAAAACCCAGATATTGAATGAAACTGGGGGTTAATTTGGGTGGTTTGGGATTTCCAGGTCCTGCTGGACAAGGATTGCTCCCATTCCTTGGCCTCGAGCAGCACCTGACAGCGAGGTGCCCTGTGCTGAGGGACAGAGAAATCCAGGTGGGAATTACCTGGATGCTCCACCTCCCTTGCAGGTCTCCAGGAGAGGGATTTGTGCTGCTCTTCCCAATGGATTTATGGCTGCCTTGTGGGAATCCAGGGCTTCCCTCTGGCTGCCCTGGCAGGTCTGGGACCCTGGCATGGGTCAGGAACCCCCTGGACAGAGCCCCCAGAGACACTGGCTGTGATCTCTGTCCATGGAAAAGAGTTTTCAATCTTACAGGATCAATTACCAGCTCTGAGTGTTTGATATAAGTAATAATTAAGTGTGGCACAGGTGCAAAAGTAAAATTTTAGGATTCTAGATTAGGGGTCCAAATGGGCACAAGATGGAGGAAATTGGGTGTGCCTTGTCCTTTTTTCTCCTTCTTCATGCCCTCCATGTTTCACTGTGGTGTTGGCATTTTTCTGTTGGTTCAGGCTGGGGACACACTGTCCAACGTAGGTGACAGATATTGGCACGTTATTGTAAATCCAGCACAGGTAGTTTGTGGTATTTAATGTTTGTACCATCCCACTGAGGGCAGAGCCCCACACGCTGCCCTGCAGGACAGAGCTGCGGCAGGGCAGCAGAACATGTTAGAGATAAACAGAATAAACAACCTTGAAACAGCACAGACCAATTATGGCTTCTGCTTTGGCAGCGGGGCTGACAGACAGAGACTTTTACAATCTGGGAATCATCAATAGCTCAGATTCTGACACTGCCTGAGCGCGGCACTGGGGGCTGACCACAGCCAAGCGTGGCTGTGACAAAGCCACCAGAGTGACCCGGGGGTGTTCCTGCTGCTGTGCCTGGCTGCCCTGAGCCTGGATCCGGCTCTGTCTTTTTGGAGAGAGGCAGGGAGAGAAAAGCCCATTCAGAGCAGCCAGAGCCTCACCCCAGTCCGAGCACAGATGCGGGAATAAAAATAAAAAGCATCAATTGCTTCATTTTACAAATATTTCCTGCCCTCGCCTTGTTTGCGAGCTGGGACAGGAAGAGGATTTTTGGGATGAGTTATTTTGCTCTCTAGCATGGCTGCTGCAGCCCCCAGAGGCACAGGGTGAGCTGTGAGGATGTCACTCGCAGCTCGAGCAGGCTGAGGGGACAGCTCTGTGTCCCAGCTCAGCCCCTGGGTCATGTTCCCCAAAGGATTTTATCAAAATCAAATCAAAAGCCATTCTGGTGGGCACTGAGGGGGGCAGAGCTCTCTCTAGGGAGCCAGGCTGGACATCCCCAGGGATGAGAGGAGCTGGCTTCTCTTTTTGGAGAACTCCAGGCCAGGTTGGACACTGGGGCTTGGAGCAGCCTGGGACAGTGGGAGGTGTCCCTGCACATGGCAGGGGTGGAACAGGATGAGCTTTAAGGTCTCCTCCAACCCAAACCATTCCATGAGATGTTTTTAATCCCCACTTCGATGTTTTTGAGGAACTGGAAGCAATGCTGAAGGTGGAAGCCACTGGTTGGATGAACTCTCCCAAAAGCCAGATCCAGGATCCAGGCATCCCTCTCTGAGCACTCCCAGATCCATCACACAGTCCTGGCCAGATCTCTTGGATCCAGAGAGATCCAAACCCCTGTCTGAGGGGTTGTTCTGTTCTGAAAGCCAAATTTGATACCTTAAAAAGGAAAGAGGAATCCTGCCCTCCCCCACTGGTGCCGGGCAGAGCCTGGGTTGCTGCCTCCCCTTGGAAAGAGCATCTGGCTGTTTGGAGAAATGAGAGGCACCACTGTTTTCTTTTGACTAATTTGATGATGTTGCAGTGCTCCGAGTGATGAAGCAGAAGGGAAGTTGCTGAGACAGCCCTTTCAGAAATTTCTCCAAAGCTTTTCCAAAAAGAAATTAAAGGGGGAAAAAAAAAGAGCGAAAGGGAAGTTTGTCAGTTTGTCACTTGTCTCCTTTGAATTTCCTTGGCAGAAGGATCTCTCCGACTTCCCAGGCAGGGAGCAGAGGCAGCCCTGGCTGGATGGATGGCGAGGATGGCAGTGCCCACACCCCAGGTGACAGCTCTGGTGACACTGATAACATCACCCTGTGCTGTGACCAGGGACCGGCTCCTTCCTTCTCCCTGTGCCTGGGGCTGCGTGGGAAGCTCAATTCCTTCTTCTTCCCTCACTCCCTGATTTTTCCTGGGAATGGCTGCACTTGAAGCACACCTCCTTCCCATGCTTAGGGCTGGGATAAGCAGCTCTTGCCTCACCTTTCTTTTGCCC